AAAAAGTCATTTTAGAATGCTGATTTTTATTTGGCTCCACAACCCATGCATTCTTCATTTAGATTGGGTGACGAAAGTTCATTCTGGGTTTACATCGTGTGTCCCGAGATCTTCACGAGGTTTCAAATCGGAGTAAAAGATTTGGTTCTAAATTGATTCAAATTTGAAAAAAACATATCACATGTTGATAAAATATGTATTTTTATTGGCATAATTTAAAAATCTAACAACAGTTAATTTAGTTGGTGTCTCTGGAGTTGATCAAATACACAGGTGACAAAATGGGTAAGAATCTACTGAAACAGCTTGCTAGTCATCATCAGGAGCATGCCACGAACACTGGCACCTGCTGAAACACAATCTCAAACAAAGGACACAACAACAACGACACAACTTAAACAGGGTGGTGAAAAGGATGACCCACAGTTACTGAGTGGAACGGTATCAAACGTGTCTATGATTCAAGTATAAAATCTCTAGGTGCTTTTTGAAACAGATGAAGAAACCACTGGTAAACAAGCCGAAAACATCAGCCAATATTGCCCAATGGATAAGAGCAAGTATGTTGAGTGAAGTGGCTTAATGCTGTAGCTGACAAGAGATAGGGCATGTCACAAACATCCTGTGAAACTGTGCTTCTTTGTGCGAGTTGTAAACCATGACAAGCTGCAACCTGGTGATGCGGCTTTAAGCATGCTCACTCGTCCTTCAATCTCACACTCTCACTCTCACACTCACTCCGTCACTCACTCGCTCACTCACTCGAAGGGCTAGTGCACTGCACAAGCATCAATATGGTGCTGACAGGCCAAAGATCAGAGTCAGACAGAAACCATAAACTGATCCTTACAAGGCTAAGGGACACAACTCAGAACAGCAAACTGCATTACCAGTGGATGAAGTGTACAGTCACACGTGTGTGAGTGAGTGGGTTGGATCTTATGCCACTTCTAGCACTAGTCACATCACAGGGAGACACCAGAAATGGGAACCATCAAAGCATCCATTATGACCATGCAACCAATCTATTTGTTGACTGTTTCAAAATGACTTACTGTATTAGAAAGCCTTTCCCCGTACTATCAGTTTTCCCATGGTAGTAAGCCTCACTCAATGGGTGCAATAAGATGGATAATGCAATAGAAGACAAGATCCTGACTTTGAGAGGCAGAACCATGTTAAAATAGGGTGCATCTCCTTGTTAAGGGGGCAATAAGAGCATGCAGTGGTGCCATGCATCAGTTCAGATAAGACTCAACCATGAACAACAGGGAAGGGACAACCCAAAGTCAACTCCACTGTCACTATTTCATCAGATGGAAGTGTCAGAATACACCAGCCTGTCTCAATACATAACTGTCCCAGCTGGATACAACATACACGGGAAGGCAATACTTGGGGTGAAGTTATCACTTTATAGTGAGTGAGTTAATATTTAGCGTCACATCGGCAAAATCTCAGCCATATCGTTGGCCAGAATTATCACTTTATAAAACACAGGTGGTCATAATACGGAAAGGCACCACTTTGTTATCTTTATCTTGTGTTTCCACTGTAGTGATATGAAGATAACCGCATTATTTTAGAGTGAGTGAGTGAGTTTGGTTTTACGCGCTTTTAGCAATATTCCAGCAACATCGGCGGGGCACACCAGAAATGGGCTTCACACATTGTACCCATGTGGGGATTGAACCGGGTCTTGGTGACGAAGCGCTTTAACCACTAAGCTACCCCACCGCCCGCATTATTTTAGATTCTACCATGACATTTAAGTTCGTTTTTGATTGGCTGTTGCTAAAAAATTAGAAGTGAAAAATGTCAAAACCACTTCTGAGAGCTGGTTCACTCGCGGCGTGAGGAATATTTTGCACTCATTAACCCTTACAAAAGGGTAAACAAACATGTCATCTGAAATTGTTACGTTTGTGGCGATTTCTTTGATGTGTTTAGATCGGATAACTTCAAAGCGTGGTAGATTCAACATGTAAGTCGAATCACACAATCACTGCTTCTTCGATCTTTGATGTCTGGTCTTTTCAAAATTGACAACAGTCAGGTTGTAATAAATAACTTCTTTCGAACTAAGCAAAAGCACTGACACACATCCAGGACAATACGTTTGAAAATGGCATGCGCCAATGGCGATCAAACGAAGGTCAAAGCGAGGACGAATCTGTTTTGAAGTTAGAGGGTGTTCCTTAATACATAACTCATTCCATTAAAGTTGTCCATAAAGTAGAATGCCAGTACAGATGTTGCAACTTGCAATATATTTGAAGAAAACTTCGTTGTGGAAATAATTAAAACATTTGACACTATGTAAAATTGTTTCTTTTTCCTGTTTCACCGAGAATGTAAGCGAAACCATTTTAGAAGAGCTCTATCCATAGTAGTGTCAAAACACTACATAAAGGGTAATGAAGTGCATATTTAAAAGCAGCGTTTTATTCATGGTGCATATGTCATGGTAGAATGGAATACCTAATCCGTTTTGTTGCATGATTGGATGAATGAGATAACAAAGTTTTTGCTCATGAATATTAATTAATTTCATAACATTTAGCAATGCGTTCACACCCCAATCTAACTATATCTAGCATTGCCATTGGTTGAAACACAATAGGCATTATCTTGTGTTAGTACACAGCTTCCGTTTAAGTTCTATAAACAAGCAATGACCCATTTTCCGTGTATAGCCCCTAAACTATTTAACTGTGATCGTAGCCAATGATTTAAGAATGGGCTTAAGAAGTTTAAAAGGGAGTAGTGCTTCTAGAATAGCTAGCGGGATTGTTCAGTAAAGAAAACATGACAAGGTAGAATAAAACGTTTTAATGTATGTGCATCAAATAATGATTATTTCCGATTATCGATCTGCAGTTTATTTGTAATCGACAATCGGGGATTGTGACTTTAATCTCACGTCAAAAATCATCCCAATTAATTGCTCCAGCACTAATGACTAATACTAACAATGTATAGGTCATAACTTACAGGGAAGGAACTACTAACACAGCAGGTATTACTTCATCACTAACACAGGTGGTCACATGTACAGGTAGTCACCACTTACAGGGGAAGGAACTACTAACACGGCAGGTATTACTTCATCACTAACACAGGTGGTCACATTGTACAGGTAGTCACCACTTAAAGGGGAAGGCAGCAGTGAGAGGGCACTTGTTACTTCATCACTAACACAGGTGGTCACATTGTACAGATAGTTAAAGGGGAAGGCAGCAGTCAGAGGGCAATTGTTACTTCATCACTAACACAGGTGGTCACATTGTACAGGTAGTCACCACTTAAAGGGGAAGGCAGCAGTCAGAGGGCAATTGTTACTTTATCACTAAGGATGTAGTCACAATGTACAGGTAGTCACCACTTAAAGGGAAGGCAGCAGTCAGTTACTTTATCACTAAGGATGTAGTCACAATGTACAGTAGTCACCACTTACAGGGGAAGGCAGCAGTCAGAGGGCAATTATTACTTTATCACTAAGGATGTAGTCACAATGTACAGGTAGTCACCACTTAAAGGGGAAGGCAGCAGTCAGAGGGCAATTATTACTTTATCACTAAGGATGTAGTCACAATGTACAGGTAGTCACCACTTAAAGGGGAAGGCAGCAGTCACAGGGCAATTATTACTTTATCACTAAGGATGTAGTCACAATGTACAGGTAGTCACCACTTAAAGGGGAAGGCAGCAGTCAGAGGGCAATTATTACTTGTAGTCACAATGTACAGGCACTTATTACTTTGTCAGTGACAGAGTTTGTCACACTGTACATGGTTACTCTGATCAGCAAGTCAAGACAAACCCTCCACAAACACGGCTGACAACAAAAACAACGTATCTATAGCGAGATTAGACCAATTCCACAACCATATGTGCTAGTGTTACCCACTACATCCCCAGGCAAGTCTAGCTAGAGTGTTAGTAGAATGAACCCATCACACCTGATGTGAATGATGAACTGGGCCACTGTAAAGGTGCTTGTACCACAAATACCAAACAATGCTTGACAACTATGACTATAATGGCTTGAGTGACTCAGGATACAAGTGAGTGATCAACCTCAAAAGCACTTTGAGCAGTAATCCAGTTCCCTCCCTGTGTGTCAGCTTGACCCAAGACTGACTGACAGACTGAGTTTGGTTTTACGCCGCTTTTAGCAATATTCCAGCAACATCACCACCAGAAATGGATGATTGTACCCATGTGGGTATTCTGACATTTTGACCACGCTTTTGTTAGAAGCTACCCACCTTCCCTTGACCCAGAAGACTCTGATGATGATCACTGACATTTACCACTTTTGAGCCCAGACTCTGTGGTAAAAACTAGCACAAGAACAGGGCAATTCTGAGACTGCAATCCATGATCATTAGTTTCAAACTTTCAACAACTATGGATCAGCGTATGTATGTTATTTCTCGAAACTAGTATCACATTTATGCTCATATGAAAAGAGTGACAATGTTATGTGTTAGTCTGAATCAGGGAAACCCATGATGGTGTAAGCATCATTCATAGCAAGGAGTGTAGCTATTGAATCCAGGGTACACTTTGAGCATGCGTGGAGTGGTATTTCAATTATACCACACTTGTTGAATATAAGAATTTATTACTCTGGTTCCCGTATCCAACAATGTTAGGAATTGACTCAAGTCCAAAAGTGAGTAACAGTTCCTATGTACCTCCGCAAAAAACCCACAAAATGATTCAAGTTGAACCGTGCCCAACCGTAACACTGACAGTGACTAAATACCACCAGACAAAAAGCTACACAACCATACCTACAGGAACGGGAACAGGAACAAGACAAGAACAAATCCCGAGGACATCCGAGTCTACTCCCCCTGGACATGTGAATGTCTCCACACCAACACGTCCCCCTGGGAGCAGCCCCCCATGCTACACGCCCCACAGTTAGTATCAAGAGTACAGTTAGGGAAGATATAACATTCACAGCAAGATACGAAGCAGGTACTCACTTTTTGATCACCCTGTTTAAGGCAAAATTCTTAAAACTGAGGCTTATATACAACCAAAACTACCAATAAAATACAGGACATTTCAGTTTCATGTCTTCTTTGCAGATAATCATACCTTGCCCAAACAACGAGTTACTATTATTGATCTGAAATTGACCAGTAATATAGACTACTTTAATTGACAACTTGAGGTAAAACAGAGCCCTTATTCTTGAAAAGTTCGTAGCCCTAAGAATTCTTAACTTTGATCGTAGCCAATGTGTTAAGAATAGGCTTAAGAAGTTCGTAGGGCTACGAACGTTTCGAGAATAGGTAGCCTGGGCCCTTATTCTAAAAGCGTTAAGAGCCCTAAGAATTCTTAACTTTGATCGTAGCCAATGTGTTAAGAATAGGCTAAAGAAGTTCGTAGGGCTACAAACGTTTCGAGAATAGCTAGCCTGGTCTTTATCACAAAAATATAAAAAAGAAGACCTTGCAAATACAATAAGCAGTTGTCAGTGAATGTTATCTGCAAACGATGATGTTTGTCTTTGTAATCCTTTTTATCTATGTCTTTTTAAGATCTGGGATAGGTTTCTGCAAGAAGACATGAACTTGGACTGATTATCATGATTATCATTATATACATACATGATTATCATTATATACATACATGATTATCATTATATACATACATGATTATCATTATATACATACATGATTATCATTATATACATACATGATTATCATTATATACATACATGATTATCATTATATACATACATGATTATCATTATATACATACATGATTATCATTATATACATACATGATTATCATTATATACATATAAATGTGTCTGTCCCGGAAACAAAGATTTGGTAAATGTTTAGACGTGTGGTGGGTTACGTCTGCCCATCTGACATCACAGGAAGCACTGTATACAGTGGAGTATTGTAATAGTTTCAGTTCAGGAAGTTCCTGTTATTTATAAACAAAGAACGCATGACAACCTGTGTGTCCTGTTATAGCAGCTACAAGATCATAACATCTATAGCGCTTTTCATTTCTTGTCAAGAGAATCACATTATTATCAGACCTCTTAATATATACTGAGGGGAAAAAATAAGGGATCACATGAAAGTACAAGTGTTCCTTTATTTTTTTCCAGGTTTCTTCACAAGCTGTGTGATACAAAGCTTGTAAAGAAACCTTGGAAAAAAATACAGGCACACTTGTGGTTTCATGTGATCTCTTACTTCTTTCCCTCAGTATAACTTCTTTTAGAGTTCACCTGATGCATCTCTTTCATGTTTGTCAGTAGGAATGCCATGATACGTCGATGCATCAATACTTTTCTGAGATGATACAATTATCGATATATTCAAAACTGTATCGATATTTAGTTTTGAAAGTTTAAATATGTTTATGTATCGTTTACATTTTGCAATTGTATCATGTTTTTTGATGTTATGAGAGTTATAAATGATTATTTTTCATGCTCAAAGATCGGAATGTAGAACTGTTCTCTGAGAATCAAATATGTTGATCTTTTCATGGACCATTATAAAATATGAAATATTAATGTTCAAAATGTAACTAAATTTACGTAATAATGCACGAAAAATAGGTATTGTGATACGTATCGAATCATGACATGGGTATCGTGATAAGTATCGATTCATGAAACATCCCTATTTGTCAGTTCTTGATACAGAGGTATCCAAATGGTTTATACACCTCATTTTAAGTGTGTTTATTCATGTTGTCACCTGGGCTGTTAGCATTCCATTATTCTGGATCTGCAGACAACTTCTCTTTTCTTTCTGATTTCAAAATATCTCATAACAGGACATCAAACAATTTACATAAAAAATACTACACTGACCAAATCTTCTCTCAAGGACAGAAACATGAAAAAAATGCAAATCACTGATAACAGGGTAATCTTGAAATTAGGTGAAATGAAATATGAGCTGAGTTAAAGATGACAATGAATGTGTTATAGTCAGCCAGAAGCCTGATCTGCGTGTCTAATGTTCCCATACACAAACCAAAGAAGCTGCTGCTGTATGACAAGCCCAGAAAACATTCCCCACAACCTGAATATGTTTCTTTCATTAACTAACTATGAGTTGCCAGTGAATTTTATGCCACACTCAGCAATATTCCAGCTATATGGCAGCGGTCTGTAAATAATCGAGTCTGGACCAGACAATCCAGTTATCAACTGCACAAGCATCGATTTACACAATTGGGATACGGTGACATGTGTCAACCAAGTCAGCGAGCCTGACCATCCGATCCCTTTAGTCGCCTCTTACGACAAGCATGGGTTACTGAAGATCAATTCTAACCCAGATCTTCATGGGTCAGGATGCCCTTTTTATGCATCGGGTACACTGACAAGATTCAAATGAAGGATGGATGTTTGGTAGAACTATGAATTCTGTATATTGCATTCAGAAGGCAAAATCGTAACATAATATTTTCTGCAAGTATTTACAAGACTTTGTGTCTGAGTCTGATAGTGAATTGATTAATACAGTATGACCTTTGATATCTATTGTTTTCATGTATATTTCACTTATCACGCTTACACTACATCATCTCCTTGGGGCATATATTTCAATAACTGAGGTTCAGGCAACACTTACTAAAACCTAAAAATGTGTTTGTAATAAATTCCAGATTTGAAAGCTTTTTACTTAATTACCTCCTTTTTTAAACCACATTTTTGTGTAAGGGGTCTTGTTTTATTATAACTAATGAAAGAAGACAACTGAAGACTAAACTATGGAAAATTTTGAATGGCTGAATACTGAATGAGGGAAAAACTGCATTGACCTGTTTAAAATAACCCACACAATGATTGGAAGCATTTCTTGCTCTGGCCTTACTAAACATCAAGCACAGAGTTACAGTGGATGCAGAAATGTGAAAAAATATGATTTATTGATATCTTTAAATCCTAAAAGAATACGTTGTTCTCTACAGCAATGACCAAAAGGTCAGTGAAAATTAAACTTCTTGTATGTTCCTATCTTCATTTAGATTAGCAAGTGAAAGTTTATGATGACATTTAAAAAAAACAAACAAATACTTCATTCTGATTGGTCAATCAAAGGTTTGATATCAACAGCTTTTGAGTTATATGCCAAACACTGTTTGCAAATACAGGTTGTGTTATAGTTAAATGACAATAAAATAAACAACTATTTCAGTATTTGTGTTAATACACTGCCATTAACACTTCACCAAACTTCCCTTGCTATTTAGACATACAAATAATAGACAGGTATGTTTAAATATCAACAGAAATATGCATGGAAGTGAAAACATTGAAAAATCTAAAAAAAATGCTTCTTGTAACCATAGTAACATAAAAAACTGACACAGTAGTTAAGTTAGCATAACGATGGTTCTGTATCAGCCAAAGTAAAGGAAAACATATAGAAATAAACATATCATATAAACTGAATTTTGCACACACTGAGAGCAAGGTAAAACACTTTCTAAAATCAAATCATCTACACTTACGACTGTGTTAGTCTAGGAGTGCTGACATGATCTAGTTATTTCTATTTGACAGAAGGCTATGTTAGCCCAGGAGTGTACTCTGTACATATCATGAAGTCTTACCTCGCCATACATGTCCAGCCGATTCACTTTGATTCCCGACACAGCCAGCTGACTTATTGTAAATGTCACCTGAAAAACAGAGCAAGAGTGAGTGAGTGAGTGAGTGAGTGAGTGGGTAAGTTGAGCGAGCGGTTACATGGATGTCCAATTGGTGTCAAATGTTTGTTACAGACAGAAAGTTTCGGTCACTTTCAAAACACTAAAAAATTACCCCAAATTTTGGACAGACCATTCTTCACAATGACCTGTCAACACGTACTGTTTTTAAATCCTACATTAAACTGAGGATTTAATTTGATAATTTTGATATTCATGGTTGTATTACATAATACTGTATCAGCAAATCTCAATCAAATTAATTTCAGGGAAATGAGATCTAGTATTCAGATATGATACCGCTCTGCAAAAAGATCTGAGGTCACTTTCATAGCAAGGCAAATCACGTCAAGTCTGACGTGACTCTTGCTTGACAATGGTATAAGAATCCATACTGAAACGTCGCATAATATATAACATAATCCCCCGCCGCAAATTATCAAATCAAACTTATAATAATGAAAGTTTAAGATGAACTTAAATGTAAACAAATACATGACCAGTCAACCTCTCTTGATATCTTGCTCTTTAGTTGTTCAAACACACACATATTTTCAAGACTGACTTTGACCTTGACATGAATGTCATAGTGTATGAAATATGCAAAACTAGTACTAAAGAAATAGCTTATTGAAAAACATTCAAGGGAAGTCTTGAAAGTCTATGAAGAAAATCCAGTGAACCGTTCTTAAAATATCTTGCTGACAATTCAGGTTAAGATGCTGGAATCTTCAAAGTGTCGTCGTGACCCTAAAAATTATGTGAAGGTCACCAAAATTGACTGCGCCCTGGGCCTTTCCTAGATGAAGCTTGGTGTCAAATATGAAGAAAATCCAGTGAATATTTTTTGCGATATCTTGCTGACTATCTTAGCATGCAATTTAACATGCTGAAATCTTCAAAGTGTCTCTGTGACCTTGAAAATTAAGTGAAGGTCACCAAAATTGACTGGGCCCTGGGCCTTCCCTATATGAAGCTTGGTGTCAAATATGAAGAAACTCCAGTGAATGGCCCTTGAGGTATCGCGCTGAAAACCATAACATGTAGGTTAATATGCTGAAATCTTCGAAGTGTCGCCATGACCTTGAAAATTATGTGAAGGTCACCAAAATCGACTGGGCCCTGCGCCTTCCCGAGATAAACCTGACTTGGGCCTTTCTTATACTGTGATGAATCTAGGTACCAAATATGAAAAGAATCTAGTGAACGGTTCTTAAGATATTTCAATTCGTACGTACGGACAGAGCCTAATACTATATCCCCTGCTTCGCGCTAAACGTGCGGCGGGGGATAATAAAGAAGTTGTTATCCATAAAGAATCTTACTTTCTTATTAAGTCTGAGCAGCTTTCACCATCCAGTCTAAATGAAGGCCACAAATCCCTATAAATATGTTCACACAGAGATGTCAGACCAGGAACTATTATCTTACCGTACACACAGGGTTGGACTCTGGAATAGCAGAACCAGTCTGAAGACTAATCTGAAAACAAAAGAAGCGACTTCACACCACTGGAACAGGGAGCAAGTTTGGTTTACACTGCTTTTATCAATATTCCAGCAATATCACGGTGGAGGGATACCAGAGTGAGTAAGCTTTTAGCAATATTCCAACAATATCACGTGAGTGAATTTGGTATTACCCTTTTACGCTTTTAGCAATATTCCAGCAATATCACGGTGGAGGGATACCAGAGTGAGTAAGCGAGTGAGTGAATTTGGTATTACCCCGCTTTTAGCAATATTCCAGCAATATCACGGTGGAGGGATACCAGAGTGAGTAAGCGAGTGAGTGAATTTGGTATTACCCTGCTTTTAGCAATATTCCAGCAATATCACTGCGGGGGGATACCAGAGTGAGTAAGCGAGTGAGTGAATTTGGTATTACCCCGCTTTTAGCAATATTCCAGCAATATCACGGTGGAGGGATACCAGAGTGAGTAAGCGAGTGAGTGAATTTGGTATTACCCCGCTTTTAGCAATATTCCAGCAATATCACGGTGGAGGGATACCAGAGTGAGTAAGCGAGTGAGTGAATTTGGTATTACCCCGCTTTTAGCAATATTCCAGCAATATCACTGGTGGAGGGATACCAGAGTGAGTGTTTAGTGAGTGAATTTGGTATTACCCCCCGCTTTTAGCAATATTCCAGCAATATCACGGTGGAGGGATACCAGAGTGAGTAAGCGAGTGAGTGAATTTAGTATTACCCCGCTTTTAGCAATATTCCAGCAATATCACGGTGGGGGGATACCAGAGTGAGTAAGCGAGTGAGTGAATTTGGTAGTACCCCACTTTTAGCAATATTCCAGCAATATCACGGTGGAGGGATACCAGAGTGAGTATTTACCCCCGCTTTTAGCAATATTCCAGCAATATCACGGTGAGTGAATTTGGTATTGCCCCCCGCTTTTAGCAATATTCCAGCAATATCACGTGGAGGGATACCAGAGTGAGTAAGCGAAGTGAGTGAATTTGGTATTACCCTGCTTTAGCAATATTCCAGCAATATCACGTGGTGGGGGGATACCAGAGTGAGTAATAGCGGTGAGTGAATTTGGTATTACCCCGCTTTTAGCAATATTCCAGCAATATCATGGTGGAGGGATACCAGAGTGAGTAAGCGAGTGAGTGAATTTAGTTTTACCCCAGCTCATCACGTGCTTTAGCAATATTCCAGCAATATCACGGTGGAGGGATACCAGAGTGAGTAAGCGAGTGAGTGAATTTGGTATTACCCCGCTTTTAGCAATATTCCAGTAAATGACACGGTGGAGGGATACCAGAGTGAGTAAGCGAGTGAGTGAATTTGGTATTACCCCTGCTTTTAGCAATATTCCAGCAATATCACTGCGGGGGGCCACCAGAAATTGGCTTCTCACATTGTGAGGAACAGAATGCTTTAACCACTCACTGGCCTGCTGGAACTAGAGTGAGTGAGTAATTGGGTTTGATGCCGTTTTTAGCAATATTCCAGCAAAAGTCAATGCAGGGGGGGCACCAGAAATGGGTTCCACACATTGTACCCATGAGGGAAATCAACGTAATGAGGGAACACTTTAAACATTAGGCTTTTTTCTTGACGATAGATGCACAAATATTTCAATTGTAGAGCATGTGACTTGAGTTTTATTCTACAACTGGCAATATTTCAGCTACCAAGGCCAAACCTTGAAATTCAGTGATGCAAAACAGCACTCAATTGCAAAGTGTGCCCAAAATCCATTGATCAAATATTGAAGGCAAAAATTCTTGCCATCAGGGTACAAAGACACGATCAACCAAGTCAGACCATTCAGTCAACTCTTACAGAACTCAAGAACAAAGCATGCTCTGTTATAACACACAAAACATCCAGAATCGATACAGGTTTCAGTCAATACTGTGGACATGTCTCCCTGCTTACATTGCCTTTGATGTTTGGCAGTTTGGCAGCATCAATCTTGCCGACATCCCACGTCATGAGTTTGGTGACCGGGTCGAATGTGTACTTCCCCTGACTTGTGGTTAGCGTGACATTCAGAACCGACTTGGGGAACGGCACCTCCAGCGTCACATTCTCTATCTGCAAGACACAATACAGCAAAAGTCCTAATGTTTGATCAATAATCCTGTTACTAACACATTTTGACACTGCTCATATTGGATGATTTCATAAAAAAGTGAGTTTAGTTTTACGCCGCTTTTAGCAATATTCCAGCAATATCACAGCGGGGGGACACCAGAAATGCGCTTCACACATTGTACCCATGAGGGGTATCGAACCCGGGTCCTCGGCATGACGAGCGAGCGCTTTAACCATTAGACTACCCCAAAGCCCCTAATAAAAAAAGAATATTCAATAAAAAAATCAACTACGATGGAACAAGTTACTGGTCATAAAATACATTTTGTGTCAATAACTAACACTTCTCATTAAAAGTTTATACACATACCGCAGCCTACAACTGTGAACTACTCATACCCTAGTAGTATATTTAACTGAGTATAATACTTGGACAGGTTCTAAGGCCACGTAATCCAGAACTAATCATCATGCTGCTACTGACACCAACCTGGCCTTCTCACCAGGATGGCGTTAGCTCAGCATATCACTGAATATAGTATCACTGCACACATTGGGTGTTCTATCTGTACTCGTAATTACAAGAGACAAAAACAATAATAAAGATTAACCTTCCAAAAATATTGGACCACTTGTCTGATAAGTGAAGAAATTTATACAAATGCTTATCAATGGTTCACTGATAGGAATTTTTTGCCATAAAAACCAAAAATAGCGCAGACACCAGTTGACTTTAGTTTCTATGAAACATTTCCACAAGTACATCCAATCAATTTAATGTTCTTGAGCCAGTTTGACTGCCATCAAAGTTACAATTAACATCAGATACACTGAAGGCTTTTGTAGATTTTACTTACTGTTTTTCCCAAGGTCTGTTTGGGTCCAATCGTGACATCAAACCTTCCGGAGTTGCCATCTCGGAATGATATATTGTGTCGGAGATAAATAGGAATGGCGACAATACTGAAATAGAACAAAATATTCGTTACTACCTTAAAATACATTGCTAGTTTAGTGAATTCAAAATGCCCCACCCTATGTTCCATCTATATAATGGGGTGAATAGGTATTGGGACTTAACACCATACAAACAGAGGTGGCCATTAAGAATAATATCTCTATTACATCATTGCTGTAAATACTGCATTTTGATTGTATTCACACAAATATCATATATAATTTAATAAGATATTCATATATCCTCAGAATATTCAACAGAAATCCTCTTCACTGTCAACTACACACAACTAGCTGTCAAGATAATAGTACTGCCAATCTGTATCTAGGCTCCTCAGTTTGCTAAAGCTGAAACAAACCCTCACTTGTTTCCTGGGTGCACTTGACTTAACATCAGTGTTTCAACTGAGTTACAATCTCTAGTGTTGATATTAATTATGCATGCGCGAGAGGCTACGAGATTGTATCTGGCGAAAGTAGTCGGGAAATAAATATGGCTAGAAGGAAGCATATGTGCTGTCTGCTGTCGTGATGTTACGGGGGTAAAAGGGCATGAACAAATGGTAGCAGATCGAGGTTCGTTGACAAGTGATATTTTCCACATGTGGAAGTAATTCTATCAGCAAAGGTTTTACCGTCACACTGGTTTACTAAAACTAATCGTGTCTTACATGTCTTAACCATTTGGTAGCTGCTATGTGATCAACTATCTGAGCCAATCACAAAGTCTTCTGAAAAAGAACTGACTGTTTTGAATGTCTCCAACTGTCTGAAATCATTGATAATTCTTGTATCTGAAAGATACAGCCATGGCAATGCTGCACCAAAGGACAAGAAGCGGTTAAATGGAAGTCAAATGTTGTGTTCAAGATTGCTGCATTTGTATAATACCACGCCTGTCCCTTTGTGTGGCTGCTTGTACTAGTATTTACAAAAACCTTACCATCGTCTGATATGTCATGCCATAGTTTCATGTTGATGCCCCACAGTATACTACTCTGAGCCAACCAGACCTTATTTAATCCCTTTAATGCTGAGCGTCAGACAGGGTAACGACAGGTACAACTTTTTGTACTACCCGTCCATGGGATAAAACCCTGACCGTCTGCTCCCCAGGAGCATCAGACAGGGTAACGACAGGTACAACTTTTTGTACTACCCGTCCATGGGATAAACTCCTGACCGTCTGCTCTCCAGGAGTATCCATCAGTCCAAGGAAGACTGACTGACTGACTGAGTTTGGTTTTACGCTGCTTTTAGCAATATTCCAGCAACATCACGGCGGGGGACACCAGAAATGGGCTTCACACAATGTACCCATGTAGGGATTCGAACCCGGGTCTTTGGCGTGACGAGCCAACGCTTTAACCACTAGGCTACCTCACCGCCCCTTCCAAGGAAGAAGGTTCTAGAATGAACTTTGTAACAGTAAGGTTTGTCTGATGTTTAACGCCACACTCAGCAATATTCCAGCTATATGACAGTGGTCTGTAAATAATTGAGTCAGACAATCCAGTGTTTGATATCATGAGAACTGATCTATATAATCTGGACACAATGTCATGTCAGCGAGTGGCTGAAGAACAGTCCCAACTTGGATCTTATCTGATATGCAGCAGTATGGACTCACTTCTGGGTTCCTATGTGGTATGACATCAGACGGAAGTGGCCATCGGGTGGAACAAATGACAAGATTCGCTCACTCTGAAATAAAAGTATTAAGAAGTGAAAAAAAACCCAAAATACTTAGCAGCTCAAGATAAAATGTTTGCATAAACCCACACTCATCTGTATGCCAGCTATGTGGTGGTGGCCTGTAGTTTACCAAGTTTTGACCAGACGAACCCGTGACTGATATCATGAACAACACCCCAAACCATAACAAATGAGTGAGTTTAGTTTTACGCCGCACTCAGCAATATTCCAGTCATATGGCGGTGGTCTGTAAATAACAGTCATGAAAGCAACCAAGCCTGGGCACGAGCTCAAAGAGCACCTTGCCTGTGGCAAGGGTACAGACTCAAGGTACGGACTCAGTGAATGTGAGATGTTATCATGTGAAGATCTGTGACAGTTAATACTCACTTCCCATCTCTTGAATCGCACACACGGATGGAAGCTGACATCATCAAGAAGACGAGGATTGATAAAGGATAAGGTGAGATCAGGCATCCCACTCAGTTTGATCAAACAGTCAATCTGCGCAGAGAAAACACAATCAACTCACCAGATAGCAATGATTGACAGATATATCACAGGACTGTAAAGACTGGACCATTCAAAGACAATAATAAAATGTTAATAGAATATCATTCTTAAGCTAAAGTACCTGAAGAAAAAAAAATAACTTGTGCGACCTGCTCCTTAAACTCTCTGCTACAAACCCATCAAATTTTACCACCATAAAACACTGGATCAGCTTCTACTTACATATCCCTGTATCTCAGCTATGACGGTAGAACCAGACTTGTCAATGATGGCATCAATTTCCTCGATCACATCGAAGTAGGCCTCGTTGTTTGTGTACTTAACCCCTGTTCGCCTCCAAGGAATGTTTGACAGCTGACCAGTGGGCAGGGTGGCACTCACGCTACACACGAAGTGGATCATAAATACCAGCACAACTGGTATGCTGCATAACACTTCTCAAACGATACATGTTGCAATATATACACACTCCGCACAATTCTACCTACATGACAGAGGCCTGTAAATTATTATTATTATTATAGGATATTTATTATTATAGGATATTTATATAGCGCACATATCCAGGCAACTAGTGCTTACTCAAGGCGCTGGTATTGTTTCCCTCGATCACTGGATGTCAATCTCAATGGCACATCATATTATCAATCTCAACTCCCTGGGGAGTATACAACTCTTGCAGCCACTAGGCGCACCGAGTTATTGTGGCTTTCTTATCCTAACGAGGTACCCATTCACAGCTGGGTGGACTGGGACACATAGTCACAGTACTTTGTCCAAGTTCACTGCATGTTACTGTACCCGCAAATAGGTGTTTGCACGTAGGTGTTTGTAAATAATTGAGTCTGGACCACACAATCCAGTGACACTGTGAGCAATGATGTTGTGGTACATTATGATCCTTTAAGTCACCTCTTACAACAAGCAGGGAACCAGGTTTGGTGAAGAATTTGCACATTGGGTGAAAGCCAGGTCTAATGTTCCCTTTGATACTGCTCAAAATATGCAACATCCAAACCCAAACCAACCCTACTCTCTCTGTTTATACGGTCAGTTTGTGACAATGGTGCTTATCTGTTCAAGATTCAAGAACACAAGAGGAGACAATAACCTAAATAGTAATACTAAAATTACAGTGAGTGAGCGAGCGAGTTTGTTTTTACGCTGCTTTTAGCAATATACAGGCAATATTATGGCTGGTCGACACCAGAAATTTAGAAATACAGTTCGCTCTACCACCATGTATAGTGTAATAAAGCACACTTTCGCCATTAACTATTATAGTTAAAGTACGAGGACGCTTGCGTCAACTATACCTTTATTGTCTGATAATGTTTTATTTTTTCGATTGTTCTAACCACTAGGCATCTTAGAATGGGCTTTACACATTGTACCCATGTGGGGAATCGAATCTCGGTCTTTGGCGTGACAAGTGGACGCTTTAACCATTAGGCTACCCCACCGCCCCACTAACATTACAGAGTGAAGGCTACAAAGGGAGACAACTGACCTGGTTGACTTGCCAGTAACGGTGTCTGTGATGGTACGAAGGAAGTTGGGTGGTTTGATGAGCTCCTTCAACACGTTTGACTCAACAGCCAGTGGGAAGCCATTGTCCAGCATCTCGTCCAGCAGCTAAACACAGTGGGATAGAGCAGTGGTCAACAGGCCAACATCCCACTAGCAATGTTTCAGAAACATAGCAAATCAACAATTCTTACAATGGTTGTAATAATAATTTGGGACATTATACGAATTCAAAATATGTGGTAAAGATCAATGAGTCAACGCCTCAATAACCTCAATAATAAAAATAAAGGAACCCAAAAAGTCAAGAAGTCTCAACAAAAATTGATGCACATTTACTGATTAACTAGATAAACCTAAATGGCATAAAATTTGAGAACACACAAGATGTACAACCAAGCACTTAATGTGAGAATAATATGTGTTGGTCTTGAGCCTTGCTTCCTAGACTATGTGATAGTGTTCCTCATTAAGACTATAACATAGTGTTCTTCACTTTAAAGACTATAACATAGTGTTCCTCACTTTAAAGACTATAACGTAGTGTTCCTCACTTTATAGACTATAACATAGTGTTCCTCAATTTATAGACTATAACATAATGTTCCTCACTTTATAGACTATAACATAACGTAGTGTTCCTCACTTTTATAGACTATACTATATACATAGTGTTCCTCACTCATAGCACTATAGTGTTCCATAGACTATAACGTGTTCCTCACTTTATAGACTATAACATAGTGTTCCTCACTTTATAGACTATAACATAGTGTTCCTCACTTTATATACTATAGCATAAACATAGGTGTTCCTCACTTTATAGACTATAACATAGTGTTCCTCACTTTATAGACTATAACGCCATAGTGTTCCTCACTTTATAGACTATAACATAGTGTTCCCTCACTTTATAGACTATAACATAGACTGTTTCCTCACTTTATAGACTATAACATAGTGTTCCTCACTTTATAAGACTATAACTATAGTGTTCCTCACTTTATAGACTATAACTATATAGTGTTCCTCACTTTATAGACTATAACGTAACATAGTGTTTCCTCACTTTATAGACTATAACATAGTGTTCCTCACTTTATAGACTATAACATAGTGTTCCTCACTTTATAGACTATAACATAGTGTTCCTCACTTTATAGACTATAACATAGTGTTCCTCACTTTATAGACTATAACATAGTGTTCCTCACTTTATAGACTATAACATAGTGTTCCTCACTTTATAGACTATAACATAGTGTTCCTCACTTTATAGACTATAACGTAGTGTTCCTCACTTTATAGACTATAACATAGTGTGTTCCTCACTTTATAGTGTTCCTCACTTTATAGACTATAACATAGTGTTCCTCACTTTATAGACTATAGACATAACATAGTGTTCCTCACTTTATAGACTATAACATAGTGTTCCTCACTTTATAGACTATAACATAGTGTTCCTCACTTTATAGACTATAACATACTGTTCTATAACATCACTCACTTTATAGACTATAACATAGTGTTCCTCACTTTATAGACTATAACGTAGTGTTCCTCACTTTATAGACTATATAGTGTTCCCTACCTCATAGACTATAACATAGTGTTCCTCACTTTATAGACTATAACATAGTGTTCCTCACTTTATAGACTATAACATAGTGTTCCTCACTTTATAGACTATAACAGACTATAGTGTTCCTCACTTTATAGACTATATAGTGTTCCCTACCTCATAGACTATAACGTAGTGTTCCTTGAGCTGGGACTCAGTGCAATCATTGAAGTAGTCCTCAAAAGTGTCACAAATCCTGTGCAGGAACTCCACCACAAACAGTGGGGGAACTGAAACAAGGTTGTATTGTACACATACAAACACAAAGAATGGATGGACGTCAGTTCTAAAGAACGTTTAATTGTAGCAAAAGAATATGGACACAGGAATGGTTAGAACTACCGAAACTGAAACATGTACATAGAATTATCGGATATTTCTGTTCTGAAAAGAAATCAATTTGAGTTTAAACAGGCCATTCCTGATATATACATCGCTCATGTCTTCATTCAAACTTTGTACTAGGGCTGTAACGAATACACTATGTGGCGAATATGATACGTATCACGAATATTGGGTAACGAATACAAATAATTATTCATGATTCTAAGATTCCTAGCGGTTAGAACAATCGAAAAAAACAAACATTGTCAGACATTAAAGGTATAGTTTTTTGATGACGTAACAATTGATTGACGTTATCCCGTCACTGTGCCATTCGAGTGTGCCCCCTCGTAATCGAACCATTTTACATTACGTCACAATGTAAGTGACATCCTTTATTGTATAATCATAATTTTGCGTGGGGCGGTGGGGTAGCCAAGTGGTTAATGCATTCGCAAAACACGCTGAGGACCCGGTTTCAATTCCAAACATGGGTACAATGTGTGAAGCCCATTTCCGCTGTAATATGGCTGGAATATTGATAAAAGTAGCGTAAAACTAAACTCACTAACTCACTCATAATATTGTTCAATGACAAGGGACACAACTCTGCACAGCAATCTAAACCACCTTTATTGTCCAGGTCATCTTAAGCTCCCCCATTACTAAGTGGTTGGTATACCAGGAGCAGTAATATTCATTATCTGAAACGGTGGCAGTAAAGAATCGAGTCCGACCCTATAATCATGTATTTGATCAACAATTTACACTAATGAGATACGATAACTTGGTACGGAACAGAATCTATACGAGATACGGAACCTATTCAAACTTGACCCCACATGGGGTTCTGAGTTAAATGACTGATAAATGTGTTGTTGACACTCACCCTCAGTTGTGGTAACAGCGACGAAGTAAAGGCTGTTCCTGTAGATGTTTATGAGGTAGTGATGGGGAGTAGAAATGACTGGTGGCACATCCTCAGGGCAGGAGGCCTGGGACAGAGAGACAGACATCATCACCTTCACCAGCATGCATGGTAAGGGCCCTTTGAGCCTTTGAGGCCAACATAATCTGCATAATTAAGGCTAACTGTCCATTAGAGACTAAGTTCATTGATGTCTGGTTTTGTAACATCAGCTTATATTGGCCATGTACTATGTCAACAGAGGGAACAGTTGTTCTTGGGTTGTCTGAGGACATTTCACTCAAACACACCCGTCAAAGAACAACTTACAGGTGCCTTGTTTGATTGGCATTTGAATAATAAGAAAGGTATGATACTTTATGGATAAGAAGTTCTTATTATATCATGAATACCATTTGATCACGTTTTTTCAACCAATCAGATGAAAGAACACAGTGACTTTTGGTTTACAATAAAGAAATAATATAATAGATAAGCTGTCTTCAATAAAGTATCATTCCTTTTTCATAACTTGCAGGTGCTGCTGTGGTGTTTGATGTTCTGTATATAGCCATCTTAAAGCTGGAATATTGCTGAGTATGCCGTTAAACAGTACACAAACAAAACTTCACATTAATTGCCTATACTGAAATCCGTGTTGAAAGACAAAGAGGTCCTTTGTTTATTCACGAGTTTGCATTCGAGGAAAATAGTAACAACTTCCGTTACCGTTAAGATAGATGATTTATACTTCTCGTGAATGTGTTGCAACATTATACTTTGTAAGCTTTACGAGCAATTTTCTAATTTAAAACCTATCACTGACTTATCCAAAATTTTAGTTATTATTTTTAACAATATTTTCTAGGGGTGAAACGGTATACCCCGGTATTAGTAGACCGCAGTATTTTGCCTTTGGTTCGGTATACTGTAATGCAATCCAAAAATTCAGTATTTTCAGTTTTCGTATCGTCAATTTCTTAACCTTTTTATACCTTACCTAAAAGGTCTAGAATTCGAATCGTTTTATCAAAATCTATGCATTTCTTTGCCATATGTCAATTTTCTTCATTATGATCATATCTCATATAACGAACCAAAGCAAAGGTCTTGTACCGCAATACATACCGTACCATGGTAAGAGCATACCGTTTCACCCCTAATATTTTCAAGTACAAGTACAAATCTAAAAAGTGGTTCATAATATTGTTTGATATTTGTTGTAGTTAATACCCTCAGACCACATCAAACTCACCTTATTCTGGGCTTCAAAAAGTAGTCACATATTGATTTGTGTATCACACTTTTCCAATGCTTTTCCATAAACACATCTCTGAAAAACAACAGTGAACAAAGGTATTTAAAAAGTAACCATGGTGACATCTCCTCATCCCTAACACAGCCTGATTATGAAACTGGTGGAAGGCCAAACAGCCAACCTAAGAAATATATGAACAACAAGAAATAACAATTTATATGTATACTCTTCAAAGAAAGAAACTTGACATGCTGTTTTGGAGTTTACTTACTGAGTGCATATAACTGATTCAACCATGACATCATTGCTCAGTTACAGTAAAATCATCACTTTACAAATTTCCAAAACATGATTATCCAGAAAGTGTTTGGTAAAACCACTTGGTTCAGAGTAAAATGTCAGTATCTGGTGTTACCACCATGAGCATCGATAACATCTTGGCAGCGGTGACCCATAGAAGAAAGGAGATGCTGTCTTGAGGAATGTTTTGATACACTTGCTGAAGTGCTGTGTGCAGTTCTTGTAGTGTCTGAGGTGGCGGATTACGCTGGCGCGAGCGTCGATCAAGAGTATCCCATAGATGTTCAATGGGGGACAAATCCTGTGATCGAGAAGGCCAAGGTAACAACTGAACATTGCTGGAGGAAGACCTGTCAAACACGTGCAACGTGACGTCGAGGATTGTCATGCTCCAAACATCATGTTGATGGAGGGAACAATGTGACATTGATCTGGCCTTCTGGCAAAAAGTCTGGCTTTCCATAACCAATTGCATACTGTCTGGTTGGAAATTTCAGAGCAGTCCAGGGATTTGGATTGTTGTGGATGATGCGGCTGAGGTGTTTGAACGAAAATGTCTCAACCGCATGTAGCGATCCTGGGCGGCGGTGGTAGCTCCAGGTCCACTTGACCTGGGTCTGTCATTAACACTCCCAGTACTTTTGTATCGGGTCCAGAGGTTTGAGATGGTCTGTCTGGACACGCTGAAGTGCCTTGCCACATCATGCTGTGATGTCCATCCTTGTAAACGGCCGATGGCGTTGTGTCATTGAGCTGTCAGTCTTTTCATTCTCTTGTCGTCTATAGTGGCTTCAAGCAATGCATGTGGAGTACCATTGATGTGGCTTGTTAAAGTCTACAGTCATAGGCTTCAGCTCAGGGTGATACACAATTTCATGATGCACGTGCATTTCATGTAGGGTGCGTTTTAGCGATTCACTACAGACATGAGTGTAACATTACGTTTTTGTTCAATGTTTCTTTTTTCAAACGTTCTGTTGTAGGCAACCATTCCCCCACATGTTGGGATTCAGCATGGATTGGTTTGTGTCAAATGTTTCCTAAAATTCAAATTTTTCCTGTGTCAAGTTTCTTGTTTTGAAGAGTATATATTGATCAAATTTATTTCAAAATAGATTCATCTACCTAGTGATTAGGCCATAATATCAAAGTCACCAAGACTTCAAACTTCACGTGATTGCAAAACCCTTCATTCAATATCTCACTATGCTGAATACTGTGATAACTGGTGACATTAACATTTGGGGTTCTATTTACAAATATAACTTAGGCAAGGCAAGAAGAAATTTCACAAATATATCATTGCCAAAATTAACATACACATATTTCAGAATTTAGTAAACACCTGTACACGCTGCAAGTGACACATACTGCTGTAACTAAAGAAACATACTGCTGGAATTACAGAAAGAAACTGATTTATAAAACTACTCTGGGACTTTATTTCACTCATCATGCTCATAGTATGAATTGGTTGTCCCTCTTGCTCAACAAGACAAAACAAATTTGCAATGTCTAAATTTACACCAGTATGATTCAGTTCCAGTTTGTAGCAAACCTGAGCATTAAGAACTGGTTCAGAGTAATTGCCCCCAGTTCTTACAAGTCAATTAGACTACATTCAATTTAGTAGTCTGAGGCTGGCAAGCTGGCATGAATGTCTCAGGCTGAATGTGAAATATTTACTGTTTTACAAATCTCAACCTTCTGTTTCCCATCACCCTAACTAGCTGAGAGCTGTGATGCGGTCCTATATAGTCAAAATATGACTGCGGGGGGAGAACACAGAAATTATCTGGGAGTACATCTATGTTTATTTTTCAGTTAAGAACACACAGGAAATATTTGTGTTAAATCTCAAGAAAATATGAGATGTAATTGGCCACTAGAATCTGAATAGAATTTTTGAAGGTGGTGTCCTCGTCCCTGATGCAGGGTCATGTCTTGACTGTATGGAACAGCACCGCGGCTATCGGCTACAGCCTGACCTGACTGACCTATATGGTGACACCTAATACACTCCCATAACAAACAAATAAGAGGGCGATTTAGTAATATACCAGATAAAATTAGGGACCGTTCATAATTTCATAAACGTAGTGTTCCTACCAACTGCAAATAAATGAGTCTGAAACATGTAACTTAACCTGGTACTGAATGCATGACCAACAGTTCAAGCTATCCATCAGAATGACAGTAACTGACCACACACTCAGTTCTAAACCCTGACTTATCTTGTTTATGGCCAGTAAACATTAGGCTAATGGGGGCTGATTCTACCCATGGTAAGAGTTCCCCCCGTAACCCCTGCTTGAAATGTATTCTATTCATTAGGATTATTTTGAGGGTTTAGTGTTAGGCATCTATTCTTAGGCATAGAATGATAGTAAAAATAAACAGGACTTACAGGCAGAAACCTTCCCTACCCAGAACCTCGACAGTGGTTGGAGGTACTTTCATTTGACAGGTATTATACTGGGACTCTCTATTATCGCGGAACATGAAAACACTGGTACAGCGCAAATACCACACCCCGCATCAGCAGTTTACATATAAAACTTACATAAAAATTCATCAAATGCTCTTGCAAATTGTATGGCACATTTTAAGGCAGCAAAACATTATTTTGTTACGTTATTGTTACCTTGTATCCAAATAAATAGAAGTGTCAATTGTTTTGGCTAAAACATGATGATATTACTAATCTTCATGAAATTCCTAAATAATATATAACATTAAAACTATTTACATTTCTTACTTGTCTTACAGTAAAAACTATTTAGATTTCTTACTTGTCTTAAGTAAACGGTTTGACAGTGTCATTTGCTTGTACCACAGTTCCATAGTAAGTAAATACCAATACTGCGATAATAGAGAGTTGCTTCAATTTCCGTGTCAAACGAGGCAATTGCGCTATTTAGTTCAGCCAGCTAAATACGTAGTGCGATAATAGTGTTCCAAACACAATGTTTAGCTGGCTGAACTAACAATAGCTGGCTGAACTGAAGTTGCGATTGTGTGCCACAATATTTGCGACAGAAATGAAGATGAAACATCAGTCAGCTCAAAATATATATAAAATGCCAAATGTCAGGAGGAGTTTATAATCCTGATAGAGACAAAGATTAACTACTGCGATAATAGAGGGTCCAGACCAAGATAACTGGAAAACCTTTTTGAATTCATTTTTATTTATATTTGCTAATAAGTGACTGGTATTTTGCCAGTCAACTACATCTTTCAACCAAAATATGTGTTTATGTCAGTGACTTCCGTGAAACTGATGTGAAGTACGTAGAAGTACGTCAGTGCCTATGGCTGTGTTGATTATTGTGTGTATATAATTCTTCCATGTTGAGCTTTATGTTACGGTGTCCATCGTGTTAATCAAAATTCTTTATTATTCGAGACATAACCCTCCCACTCACATGACCAATCGACACCGGTCAAAATTCCCGGACTGCTGTTAAACTAGGGAGAAAACATTACACAGATAAAACAAACATGCCATATGCTACACACACAAAACTTCCACAATATCATACCCGCTGTTATTGATGACAAAAAGACTGTGAATCATTGTGAAATATGCCACATAGAACACAGACTCGAGAGACGGAAGAGCATCCACTCCTAGGGGACGTAACTCTTGGCATTTCCGTTCGAAGTTAGACTATGAAACATCTGCATGGAACACTTGAGTTCGAAACACCACTACCGAGCCGACATTTCTTGTTGATATCTATTTTTGTTTACATATTTTAATTTGAAAAATCTGATAACAGAATAACTGACATTAATAAAACTTGGGTTTAACAATCTTTTCCCCACTTATCAGAGAGAACCTGGTACTAATTTATTTGACAATTGATTCAGTATGAAGATTTAGGAAACTGGGCACAATGGTTTCAACATTCACATTTCCATAACACAAAAACATATTGAATTCAGTTCTTATTAATGAAAACTTCAACAATAACTTCACAGCCTGCTTATTTATTGATTACCACTGATGTACAGAGCAATAATGCAACACAAGACCTGCGCCTTCTGTTAACAACCAATCATGAAACAGTTAGTGGGCGTGTCCTATCCAGTGCCATAAAACCCTTGCAATCTTTTCACATCACTTAGGTTTCTAAAGACATGCTTTCATCTGTAAGGAATAAGATAGTGATGCATGTGTAGCAGGGCGTGGAGTCATCCCACAGATGACATCCTTACCTTGTCAGCTTGCTGACGGGGTTAACCTCTTTGGTCATGTGGACAAGGCTTCCGACTTCGGATTAGAAGGTCCGTGGTTCGAATCCTTGCACGGGACTCGGAAATTTTATGGCCGCTACATTGGCGCCCAACGTGGGGCTGAGCATGTTCATGTCAAATTTGAGCAAAATAAGTCTCAGTACCCAACTATGCGGCTCGGGACGTGCCTTCTGTTGACGGGGGAGTATGTAGCAGGGCGTGGAGTCATCCCACAGATGACATCCTTACCTTGTCAGCTTGCTGACGGGGTTAACCTCTTTGGTCATGTGGACAAGGCGTCCGACTTCGGATTAGAAGGTCCTTTGTTCGAATCCCTGCATGGGACTCGAAATTTTATGGCTGCTACACATGGAAACTTGCATGCATATACACAAAGAATAATGATTTAGTCTTTATAACAGTGCAGTTTATGATGTAAATTGCCTGCTACTTAGTTTGAGTGAGTGAGTGAATATGATTTTGCTTTTAGCAATATTCCAGCAACATCACATCTATGGACACCTGAAATGGGCTTCACACATTGTACCCATGTGGGGAATTGAACCCGGGTCTTTGACATGATGAGCGAATGCTTTAACCACTTGGCCACCCCACAGCCCCTTGACCCTCCGTCTTTAAATGGTATTTAGAAGTGATACACTTAGAATGACCACTCACAATGTCCAGTTTGTTGTCCTTAAGCGTGACGAGTGAACGTTTTAACCACGAGGCTACGCCACCGCCCCCTATTCAATATGAAGAGGATAAACTACATGAACTGATTCAATGTTGACTCAGAGACTCTGTGTGTGTGGGATATATATGTTAAACTGTGGCCTATTGGTCAGGTAGCACAATAAAGGCAGCCTATGTCGACACTTGTACAAGCAGACATACTCACACCAGCCATGCTATGTAATTGCAATAACACATCAGTAAATCTCTTATTACAGTTCAAGTAGCAGCTTCTAAGTTAATGCAGCTCGCATTGATAAATTCTGATACAGCAGATTATGGTGTTATATCAGGTTGTTTTTAAACAAACCATATTGTTTAATAAAATCCAAGAGCTTCAAGTGACAATCGTTTGTTAACCTGTAAACAAAGCTTCACCTGAGGCTTACATTTGTCAGTCATTACAATGTCCAGACAATATCCACACTATTACCTGAAGCCAGAGACGGAGTTTGGTTCAATGCCACTATGTATTCAGTTACCTTACAGTGTGTCCTGTTCATGGGAGGATAGCAAGACTTTCACTCAAGCTGATTTTCTCATGTGCACATAAAATAGACTTGATAAAACATTTTTCTTGGGTCATAGATTTGCTCATACTTAAACAAGTTCTAAAAGCCATCCCTTTTCATGCATTTTAGTCACATGTTTTAGCTGTTATATGTCATAGGATTCTGGTGTAGAATAGTTCATTGCTACAGTGTGCCATGTGAGGTGAGGTGAAATTGGGTTTAACGTCTTGCTTGAGAATATTTGGCTCATATGACGACGTGCACGCGTATGTATGTGTATGTGCAGCTGCTTGTACTAGCCCAGACTGAAGCTGGTTTTATAGTGCTAGCTCACTGAGATACCACGCCGCAGTGAAGCATGAATACCCCACTCAGACACATTATACTGACTCCGAGCCGACCAGTCCTTGTTGTACCCATTAATGCCGAGCGCCAGGCAGGGACCAACAAGTACCATATTTTAACGTCTTTTGGTATGACGCGGTCGGGGATCGAACCCGCGACCTTCCGCTCTCCGGGCGGACGCTCTAACCACTACACAACGGAGGCGGTCACAGTGTGCCATGTAATGTCATCTGTGTCAGGTCGCCGCTCAAGTGTTCAATGTAACATCACCCCAGTCTTGATCAGTGGACAAACATTCTATGCTCTAGATATCCACTTTATTCCAAGACCAACCTACAGCCCAAACAGCTCATCTGAACTTCTGTGTCCAACTTTCAATCAATGACAAAATAAAAATCAACATTGTTCATGGAAATTTATTTCACATATTGTTCAAAATAATATTGTGTACAATTTGTCAGATCCTGTAAACAAACTCAACATAGTAATACAGAGACAACAGTGGGTGTCCAACTCCAGCAGGCTAATTATGTCATCTCTTCTGGATCATTCAAGGGACACAACTCTGCACAGTATAGTGTAACTGGGCCACCAAAGGCAAATCATGACAAGAGCAGTCAAAAGGTTTGACAGCTCACAAACACAATGCTATAACACCAAAGAACTTTAAATTGACAGTCCCACAAAGAGTGAATGAAATGTTTTAAAAATAGTAAATGCTTGACAACCAGACCAACAAGTCTGACACATTACCAGACCATCTCTGATGGTTGGGCAGTCAAGTATCATAACCATAAAACTGATATGATGTGAATTTTACTTAATTGCAGATAACTTCAATAAGTAATGACAAAAATTTTAAACATGATGCAACAATATAAAATGAAGCGAGTTGTGACAGACAAGATGCTGACCACATATTGTGGCAATTGGGAATAATTTGGACCATAAGTATCTCATTTAACATATTACCATACAGTGTTAGCAATACGGTATAGTTTTAACAAAATGAAGTCATCTTTTGTTTGCTTCTTCTCTGTCAAACTAAAAAACACTGAAACCTTCCCATCACAAGATATACAAGTTACCATTTTGAAATCATTATGAAACTTCCTGTATCCTGTATCAAGGTACTTAACTTGGATTAATTACTGTCCATTTTGTCAGATAAAATTCACAAAATATTCACTCTAATAGTAATGGTTCAATATTTTGGGAGATTTACACTAAATGCAAAGATTCTGCTCAAATGGAAATAATTGCCCAGACTGTGTATGGTATCTTGTAGTAGTCTTGTATAAAATCAGTGTTGGGATACACTCTCAGGTTCAAGATTAGTCTCAGACAGACATCTTCAATCGCACACTTTGATTACAAAGATATATTCAATGTAAACATTCTTTATGAAGAACACAATGCCCAAATTTCGATCTCATTAATTTTTCAAATGGAAACTTCATAAAGACGTCCAACCACAGTCTATAACACATCCATGGTTTCTTGATGAACACAACATTGTAAGTTCTCAGCTGTTGACCTGTGATGTTCCTCCTTAAATTAGTCCTGATCTCCACCACCAAATTGTCTGCTGCCTCTTCCTCCACTACCAAAGGAGAAGCTGCCACCCTCACTGCTGCTTCCCCCACCCCAAGAGCCACCTTGCTGCTCATTGCGGAATCCTCCTCCACGGCCAAATCCACCCCCGCCTCCATATCCCCCTCCTCCTCCATACTTGCTCCCACCCCCACCAAATCCACCTCCTCCTCCCCTACCTCGACCACCTCCGTAGCCGCCACCTCCATACCCTCCTCCTGACCGGCCACCTCCATAGCCACCACCTCTACCACCCCCATATCCTCCCCCCTTACCTCCCATACCCTCCTCCTCCCCCACCTCCATATCCTCCTCCCCACCACCATACCCCCCTCTCCCTCCACCATATCCTCCTCCTCCTCCAAACCCTCCTCCTCCCCATCCGGGGCATCTTGGCAGGAGGTCCTCGCATATTGTTGCCACCCCTGTGGAGAAAGAATCTTGATATCAAATCTGTAAAATCATCATATGAATTGCTCTGAACATGATCATTGAGACAAAAACAGTTTCCTTCAGATAGGCAGTTTAAGCATGTAAGCTGATTGGATTGGACATCATGCATACTTTTACTGTTATATATGTAAATGAATTGGACTTAATGCTGTGTTTGCAGTGTTTCCGTTACGGTAAATATTCATCATGAAATTAATGTCAACAAATTTCATACAACCACCTACACCTGGCCAAAACAGTTTGGGAGAACATGTCCTGTTGAAGACAACTTAACCTAAACTTACATCGTGGTGAGACTGCCAGAAGATACAAGGACTGTTTTAAAGGTACTCACGATTCTTGGCTGAGACCAAATCGGCCGGCATGGGGACGTGAAATTGCCCTCAGCACAGCCAGAAGACACTCTTCTTGAGGCCCTGGCTCTGCCGCTCCCTCCGGCTCCTTTGTCGACCTCACCATCAGAGCCTCCAGCAATGGACGTAATGCAACTAAACTAGCTGCCAACTCATATTCCATCCGAAGGTTGATCCTGAAGTGACACAATATCTCAGTGACATAATGACTTTCAAGTAATATCATGACTTCCCAGTAACATCATGACTTCCCAGTAACATCATGACTTTCCAGTAACATCATGACTTCCCAGTAACATGACTTCCCAGTAACATCATGACTTCCCAGTAACATCATGACCTCCCAGTAACATCATGACTTCTTCCCAGTAACATCATGACTTCCCAGTAACATCATGACTTCCTAGTAACATCATGACCTCCCAGTAACATCTCATAACATGACTTCCCAGTAACATCATGACCTCCCAGTAACATCATGACTTCCCAGTAACATCATGACTTCCTAGTAACATCATGACTTGCCAGTAACATGACTTCCCAGTAACATCATGACTTCCCAGTAACATCATGACTTCCCAGTAACATCATGACTTCCCAGTAACATCATGACTTCCCAGTAACATCATGACTTCCCAGTAACATCATGACTTCCCAGTAACATCATAACATCATGACTTCCCAGTAACATCATGACTTCCCAGTAACATCATGACTTCCCAGTAACATCATGACTTCCCAGTAACATCATGACTTCCCAGTAACATAATGACTTCCCAGTAACATCATGACCTCCCAGTAACATCATGACTTCCCAGTAACATCCCCTCAGTAACATCCTGACAGACCTCCCAGTAACATCATGACTTCCCAGTAACATCATGACTTCCCAGTAACATCATGACTTCCCAGTAACATCATGACCTCCCAGTAACATCATGACTTCCATCATGAGTAGTAACATCATGACCTCCCACATAACATCATGACTTCCCAGTAACATCATGACTTCCCAGTAACATCATGACTTCCCAGTAACATCATGACTTCCCAGTAACATCATGACTTCCCAGTAACATCATGACTTCCCAGTAACATCATGACTTCCCAGTAACATCATGACTTCCCAGTAACATCATGACTTCTCAGTAACATCATGACTTCCCAGTAACATCATGACTGAACATCATGACTTCCCAGTAACATCATGACTTCCCAGTAACATCATGACTTCCCAGTAACATCATGACTTCCCAGTAACATCATGACTTCCCAGTAACATCATGACTTCCCAGTAACATCATGACTTCCAGTAACATCATGACTTCCCAGTAACATCATGACTTCCCAGTAACATCATGACTTCCCAGTAACATCCCAGTAACACATCCCAGTAACATCATGACTTCCCAGTAACATCATGACTTCCCAGTAACATCATGACTTCCCAGTAACATCATGACTTCCCAGTAACATCATGACTTCCCAGTAACATCATGACTTCCCAGTAACATCATGACTTCCCAGTAACATCATGACTTCCCAGTAACATCATGACTTCCCAGTAACATCATGACTTCCCAGTAACATCATGACTTCCCAGTAACATCTTCCCTTCCCAGTAACATCATGACTTCCCAGTAACATCATGACTTCCCAGTAACATCATGACTTCCCAGTAACATCATGACTTCCCAGTAACATCATGACTTCCCAGTAACATCATGACTTCCCAGTAACATCATGACTTCCCAGTAACATCATGACTTCCAGTAACATCATGACTTCCCAGTAACATCATGACTTCCCAGTAACATCATGACTTCCCAGTAACATCATGACTTCCCAGTAACATCATGACTTCCCAGTAACATCATGACTTCCCAGTAACATGACTTCCCAGTAACATCATGACTTCCCAGTAACATCATGACTTCCCAGTAACATCATGACTTCCCAGTAACATCATGACTTCCCAGTAACATCATGACTTCCCAGTAACATCATGACTTCCCAGTAACATGACTTCCCAGTAACATCATGACTTCCCAGTAACATCATGACTCATGACAGTAACATCATGACTTCCCAGTAACATCATGACTTCCCAGTAACATGACTTCCCAGTAACATCATGACTTCCCAGTAACATCATGACTTCCCAGTAACATCATGACTTCCCAGTAACATCATGACTTCCCAGTAACATCATGACTTCCCAGTAACATCATGACTTCCCAGTAACATCATGACTTCCCAGTAACATCATGACTTCCCAGTAACATCATGACTTCCCAGTAACATCATGACTTCCCAGTAACATCATGACTTCTTAGTAACATCATGACTTCCCAGTAACATGACTTCCCAGTAACATCACGACTTCCCAGTAACATCATGACTTCTTAGTGACACTCGCCAGTTGTCCAGCACTATCAAGTAAGTCTCGCTGTAAAGTGACACTCACCAGTTGTCCAATACTATCATGTCTCCCTGTAAAGTGACACTTCGTGCCCCGAACAGCAGGAGTTGTAGAGGTGTGGCCATCGTCATCTGCTTGCAGGAAACAGCTCTGGTTCTGATCTGTAGGGGTAACATCAGTTTCAAGTGTTAAATCTAAGATATCAATGAAGACAAAACGTTCACATCAATCATTGTTAATAATTCTTACCATCACCAATATTTCTAATTATCAAACTCTCCAGCAAGCCCTTCAAATTTATTTAGTTTTGACTAAATGTGCCAATCTGACTCAACATTCCAACAACACAAGATCAACATGGAGGATGTAAAACAGGCCAGAACAGAATTTCTTGCACATATGCTGGCCATACGACTATCGTAAGTCAATGTTACAGTATAGGAGGTAGGAATTCTAAGAGGATAGTTACGAACGAGATCATAGGCTTACGAGAGCTTTGTGAAACCGGGCCCTGGTCTTGAAACTCACTAGTTGCTAACATGGTCTGGAACTAACCTTTTCTCCGAAGATGAAGAAAGGTGATGGGAAGTTGACCTCGAAGTTGCTGCAGTTGACCGATGACTTGTGTACTAGGGCAGCTCTGCTCTCTGTGGTGAGCACCTTCCTCTTCTCCTTGTGGTAGCACACGTTGGGGTACAGCCCCATTGCCAGCAGCGTGATGGCCTGGAACACATGGTCGCAGTATTTGATGTTTTACAGTGTAGCTGTATGATGAGTGAGTGAGTTTAGTTTTACACAGCACTCAGCAATATTCCAGCTATATGGCGGCAGTCTGTAAATAACAGTCTCTACCAGACAATCCAGTGATCAACAGCACAAGCATTGATCTGCACAATTGGGATACGATGAGTCAACCCAGTGCCTGACCACCCGATCGTGTCAGTCGCCTCTTACGACAAGCATGGGTTACTGAAGATCAGTTGTAACCCAGAGTTTCACAGGTTGTGTATGATGATACAAATATGGACCCAACAAACCAGTGGTTGATGTTATGAGCAAACTGACATGCAATCTACCACGTCACTGTCTGATCACCTGATCGATTCTACTGTCCAGCACAAGCGGATTGAGACCAGGGGTTATGAGTGAGTGAATGAATAAGTATGGCTTTACGCCTCTTTTAGCAATATTCCAGCAATATCACAGCAGGGGACACCAGAAATAGGCTTCACACATTGTACCCATATGGAGAATCAAACACGGGTCTTCAGTGTGATGAGCAAACACTTTAACCACTGGGCCACCCCACAGCCCATAGAAAGAGGCTATAAATGGTAATTAGAAGCGATACACATACACTTAGAATGAGCACTCACAATGTCCAGTCTGTTGTCTGGCCCCACGAAGTTGAAGCCCATGGGCATGAGGCTCTCATCTGGAAATCCAGTATTCGATAGGATGTCCCTCAGCTGATTCTGTCAAGCACAGTAACAAATATAGCAACACAGTTGCAAACAAAATAGCAACATTTACAGTAACAGCAACATAGCAACAAACAGTAACCGATGATGGAAACATGCACAGTCCACTAGTCCTTAACATAACACACAGTAACACCCTACAAATGTCAAGTACCTACTAGTGAGTGAGTGAGTGAGTGAGTGAGTTAAGAGTTTAGTTTACACTGCACCCGCAATATTCCAGCTTTATGGCGGCAGTCTGTAATTAATCGAGTCTGGACCAGACAATCCAGTGATCAACAGCATGAGCATCGATCTGCGCAATTGGGAAACGATGAGATGTGTCAACCAAGTCAGCGAGCCTGACCACCCGATCGCCTCTTATGACTAGCATAGTCACCTCTTGTGGCAAGCATGGGTTGCTGAAGACCTATTCTACCCCGGATCTTCACGGGTACAAGTACTTACTAGTCCTTATGATACTCTAAATATTAGGCAGTTTTTGAAGGACTATGGGACTAGTGCCAATTTCTATTACCAGTTGATTCCTCTTAGCAAGGTCATTATGGGAAATTAAGGATCTCAAGGACCTGTCCCTCTGATTGTCTCAGGTACTGGATTCTATGTCATGACCTTGACCAAAGAAGTACATTTTCATGATATAGCAGCATAAGAGACGCGTAACTTGAAATGAGTCAGTGAGTCAGTGAGTTTTACACCACACTCAGCAATATTCCAGCTTTATGGCAGCGGTCTGTAAATAATCGAGTCTGGACAAGACAATCCAGGGATCAACAGCATGAACATCTATCTACGCTAACTTGAAATGAAGCTTGCCTGCAATTGTGATAGTGATGTTTGTTGAACTTTTCAGTCGGGAGGGTGACAAGGAAATTCCGACAGACCTACCTTTGCTTCAGATGTCATGCGTAACGTTTGGAGATTGAGGGACTTCTGGTCACAGAAATATATCTCACTGTCCTCGCCTCCTGATCTGAAACACAAACAGTCTAACTGTGAGTTGTCTCCCTTGCATCACCAATACACCAACTACCTGACAGTGATTGACTGTACCGTCCGGCAGTCTATTCTACTGCTGTCACCAGTGACAGGACCCAACTGTGACAATCAGCCAGAATCATGCACTGACAACATCTGACCAACACAAACAGGTGATTACAGTCTTAGATCAATACCATTGATCTATGCAATTGGAATACAATGACGTGTCAACAAGTCAGCGAGCCTGACCACCCAATCCCGTTAGTCACCTCTTATGACAAGTAAGAAATAAGAAATCCATAGATACAAACGAATATTCAGCTTCAAAAGAAACCAGAATATTGAGTGGAACATAACTCTGTAAACCCAACCTGTGACAACCACTAGAAAATATGGCTAAAGACTCAGATGACAGTACCTGGCCTCCTCCCACAGCTGGAAGGCATTGAGTAGCGCCACATGGTCGCTGAATCGGCTCCCCGCTAGACTCTTGTGCACCCAGCCCAGGCGCCGCCGGTCTGCCGGGACGATGAAGGGTTCAGGGAATGTGGTACTGGCAGCTATTGTGCACATCGCATCTCCAACACTGAAGAAAAGAACTATGTTAATAACATGCACCTATAAAGAACAATTCAATAAGCATGATAGAACAGTGAGTGAGTGAGTGAGTGAGTGAGTGGACAAATAGAACCTGTTTTAGCAGTTTGTTAAGCAATCTCAAATGTCAAGGAAGTTCAGCACTGAGTTTCGACATCTCTTATCTCCTCTCCACGGCTGTTACCGTGAAAAATAGCATGTGCTATTATGTCTTTGATCTGACCTGACACAGGATACTCTGTTCATTAACACAAGGTTAACATAGAACATTGTAGGCATCTCACTGTATCATATAAAACCTTACCTTACTATATTGTTTATTACAAGCAAAGTTTAGGATCCCTTTTTGAAGACATTTAACTAATGCCTACCTACAATTTTCACTGGCTGCTAACTTTTAAAGTTTTTAAAAAATATACCATGTGACATAAATTAAAAACAAAATCATGCTCTTTAATCTGAACACTTACTAGAAGATACACCCAAATATGATCATCTTGCCGAGCCGAGGCTCGATGGGAAGTTTGGCGAGGATCTTTCCCAGGGGGGTCAACTCATCATTCGCGTCCAGTGCTCGCATATCTACAACATATAGACAATTTCAGAATAGGACTGGAAAGCTTAAACATGTATGTACTCACCTTACAAAGGAAATGTTGTTTATTGGCTGAAAATATGTTACAATCAGTTGGGGAGATCAACCAAACAAGACACAGTCCAAAGAGTGAGTGAGGTAGGTTTTAAGTTGCTTTTAGCATTATTCTAGCAATATCAAGGTGGGGTACACCTGAAATGGGCTTCACACATTGTGCCCATGTGGGGTATCGAACCCAAGTCTTCAGTGGACGAGTGAAGTCATAACCACTAGGCTATCCCACTGCCCCACACGGTCCAAAGAGCAACACCTCCCCCTCCCACCCAGGCCCCTGGTTCCCCAATAACATCTGATATTACCTAAACTCATCTTTTCATCTGGTCTGATTCCAGTCAGCATCAAGATCTGAGGACACCTCCATCCATGGGAGCCGAACCAATTACACTGGTTAGAGGGGGTACATAAAGTACAGGATCTTGGCTATCAGCTGTCCGACTTCTACTGATTGTAAAACCCATGGTGGGTTAGATCGCTGGCTTTGTGTGCTTATGATTAGGTGCCCGGACGTTCATAATCTGGGTTCATTCATTCAGAGTATTTATAGTCTCCTGGATGGGACTCAACCAAACACAAGTACCAGAATCTGTACTTTACTCAGCAAGAGTAATCCTACATATAACATGTACTACATTTGACCACTTTTTATAGTCCATTTGGCTCAAAAGCAGACCGATGAATTGCAATCTAACTCGAAAACTAATAAACATAAAGGGACAGAGAAAGAGAGAAAGGGACAGCCAGGTGTTAGAGAAGCACATGCACAAGTGCCGACAAACTTATTGATTCATTAACCTGTGCTGTGCCGTCTCCATCCTTTCTCGCACACCCGGCTGTCCCTTTCTCTGCACTCCTCCCTCGTAACAAATAGTGAACTGTGTCAATATCTTAATGATAGTTTGTTAAACAACTTTTTTATGTTTAGGACATAAATTCTGCAAAAACCTCACAGAGTTGGTCTGACGTTTTCATTATGATTAGCGTTTCATTGAGTATTATATGTTTATTAGTTTTTGAGTTAGACTGCAATTCATCGGTCCGCTTTTGAGCCAAATGCACTATAAATGGCATTGTGCATTCAGGGACTAAGGGGGAACACATGAGTAAAACAACAGTAATTGTTATGGAGTCTTTCTTCTGAACTGAGGTATGTTGCTCCCATATACAGACTTCAAACCAACCTGTCCATATCAGTTGTTGGTATGTTTTACCAGTCTTGCCTACTCAGTCCTATCTTTTTATCTTCATCAAAATGCCACATTCCTTGTCATGAAGAGGTTGTATATCAGTAGAATTACCTCCCTTGTGCTTGCAACTTCCAAGTGCTATTTAAATAATAGGGGTGACTATTGATGGGGGAAACAACAATTGCGACAGTAATATTGTAAAAGTTTTTTTCTCCTTGAATTGTCTCATTTGAAGTCATTTCCCAAGTGAATTAACAGTTTATATGAAATAAAAACAAGTTGAAGTAATTCAGCATTGTTTTTTACAATTTCAAACTGTGAGTCCCATGCCGTGTTGGCCGCCATGTTTATTTAGAGACCGTTCATAATTTATGGCTGGGGTGGTGGTGATGATTTTTATGGAGCAGAATGTACAATGTGAATGACCCCCCCTAAAATTTATGTAAAAACAAGCATTGTCACTAAGGTGACATAATCCCCCTCCACAAATTATCAAATCAAACTTATAAAGTAATGAAAGTTTAAGATGCAGTTAAATGTCAACAAAAACATGGCCAGTCAACCTCTCTTGATATCTTGCTCTTTAGGTGTTCAAACACACAAATATTTTCAAGACTGACTTCGACCTTGACATGAATGTCATAGTGTATGGAATGTGCACAAATAGTACTAAAGAAATTGCTTATTGAAAAGCATTCAAGGGAAGTCTTGAAAGTCTATGAAGAAAATCCAGTGAACCGTTTTTGAAATATCTTGCTGACAATTCAGGTTAACATGCTGAAATCTTCAAAGTGTCGTCGTGACCTTGAAAATTAAGTGAAGGTCACCCAAATCGACTGGGCCCTGCGCCTTCCCTGGATGAAGCTTGGTGTCAAATATGAAGAAAATCCAGTGAACGGTTCTTGAGATAGCTTAACCTGCAGGTTTACATGTTGAAATCTTCAATGTGTCACCATGACCTTGAAAATTATGTGAAGGTCACCGAAATCGACTGGGCCCTGCGCCTTCCCCAGATAAAGCATGGTATTGAATAAAATATTGAAGAAAATCCAGTGAACGGTTCTTGAGATAGCTTAACATGCAGGTAAAACGTTAAAGTCCCCTTGTGATCTTGAAATGGGGGTCAAGGTCACCAAACCTGACTTGGACCTTTCTTATACTGTGATGAACCTAGGTACCAAATATGAAAAGAATCTAGTGAACGGTTCTTAAGATATTCGAATTCGTACGGACGGACGGAGCCTAAAACTATATCCCCCGCTTCGTGCGGTGGGGGATAATAAGTGAGCCCCCCTTGCATGTCATGTACAACCGCCCCCTTAAAATCATCACGCACGCACGCACTCACACACACCATAAATTATGAACGGTCCCTTACCAAGTAACAGGGGCAGATAACTCTAAATCAATGTGAACGAATTTGGTACTTGCTGTATTTTGCGCTGCGCATTTATCAACGGGAAGTCAATTACGAAACTATCGATAATCACACATACTATTGATGTATTGATGTTTTCTTGTTTCTACCATCGATTAATTGCTACAAGAGATTCAACAATTGCAATGAATGTAGTTCTGTCACCATCAATTGACATACCTCGAAAAGTGTTGCTTCAGCTTCAATGACAGCATCGAGGGGTGGGGGCTCAACTGCCTTGGCCAGGAACTGAGCAATTGGACCCAGTCTCAGAAGTTTGATTGACAGGGCCAGTTCATGAAGTGGTGTACGGAATATCTCGGGTGTAGTGTGTTGGTCCAATCTGGGAAGCAAATGTTCAAAAGTTCCCATTGTTAAAATTGGTCCAAAGGATAATTAATGAAAAGTGAATAAATATAAAAGCAATGGGAGTCAGTGAGACTGACTGACTGACTGAGTTTGGTTTTACGTCTCTTTTAGCAATATTCCAGCAACATCACGGCGGGGGACACCAGAAATGGGCTTCACACATTGTACCCATGTGGGGATTCGAACCCGTGTCTTCGGCGTGACGAGCCAACGCTTTAGCCACTAGGCTACCCCACCGCCCGAGTCAGTGAGACTACCTAGCTGATACTTATAGCAATATTCCATCAATATCATGGCATACACTAAACACAGTCCCTTTCATTCATAGCATCTCAGCCCTTACAGACATCTCAAGATAAAACAACTCTTACTTGTCAAATCTCGCCCTGCTGCACAGGTGGAAAGCAAAGCCGGGCCTGACTCGACCTGCTCGCCCACGTCGCTGCTCCAGGTTCGTCTTGGACGCCCACACAGTGGCGTAGTTCGTCATGTTGTTGTGGGAGGTGAACAGCTTCATCTTGGCCCTGCAATTATTGGAGGATGTAGAGAGGCCAACCGAAACTGTATGTAAGTGTAGCTGTCTGAGTGTGTGCCAGTCTCTCTCCCTGTGTTTGTGTGCATGTGGATGTTTCTTGCACGAGTGTTTTTTATGTGTGTAAGTGAGTGAGTTTAGTGTTACGCTGCACTTGGCAATATTCCGGCCATATGGCGGTGGTTCTGTAAATAATCGAGTCTGGACCAGACAATCCAGGGATCAACAGCATCAGCATCAATCTATGCAACTGGGATACGATGACAGGTGTCAACCAAGTCAGCAAGCCTGACCACCCATTAGTTGCCTCTTACGACAAGCATGGGTTACTGAAGATCAATTCTAATCTGGATCTTCACGGGTGTTTTGTTTGTGTCTGTGTGTGGTGACGCGTGCATGTAGCTGTGTATGTGGAGGGAAGAACAACTTTTCTTGTTTATTCCACTCAATAAATGTCAACTGTGGGTATACAACACATTAAATGGACTTAAAACTTTTGAGCCTACTTTTGTATGAGAGCAGGTTATATGTCATAATAGCAAAGATAATCAAGCAACATTACATAACCTACTTGCAAGAGTCGATGACAAACACAACATCATCAATAGTCACACTGGTCTCGGCAATGTTGGTCGACAAGATGATCTGAAATGATGATTTAATAATAAATATATTAAATAGTAAAATATGTCAGACTTAACAATGCAGTCTGCAGTTTTTCAATTGTATGACACTGCCTTCAAAAACAGATAATAAATATAGCCACGACAAACATGGCAAGCATGACATACTATGCAAAACATTGGGATACGACCACATGCATTAACAGAGTCATCGAGCCTGCGAGGTGACTCAACTGAAACTCAGCTGGTAATAGGGCAGGATGTCGATACAGATCATAAAGATCGATCATCTTTAAATGAATGAGTGAGTCTAGTTTCACGCCGCTTTTAGCAATATTCCAGCAATATCACGGCGGGGGACACCAGAAATGGCCTTCACACATTGTACACATCTTGGGAATCGAACCCGGGTCGTCAGCATGAAGCCTTAACCACTAGGATACCCCACCGCCCCCTCATCGTTAAATGAATACAGATCATTAATCGATAATCTCTGAGCAAAAATGACTACAAAATATGAAATCAACATATTTCACATTACCAGCAAAATGCCGTCCTGAACATACTTTAGGAGCAACCCATGAATGAAGATTAACTTTGTGTATTTTCTGAGTAAATTTTAAAAATATTTCATCAATTTCAACGATTTCATCGTTCATGAACAATATTATCGATTACACAATTTTCATATCAACAATCATTAATAATGATTCACACAGACGATTTTCCCGATTATCAATCTATTTAGTCAGCCCTAGTTGGTAAGATCTTAGACAACCTGTTCAAGTTCAGCTGAACACTTCTTCTTGGGGAGTCCCTTTGGCATGATGCCAAAGACGAGAAACCATGTGGTTGGAACGACGCATTACACTCATCATAGTGACATCATAACAACAACTTATTCAAAGATCCCAAAAATGGTGTGTCCCCCCTAGCATGGAGTAAAAGTCCAGAATCCCAGCCAGTTGTTCAACTCCAGTCAACACATAGTGGTAACACTGTATTAACCTGTTGAAGATCAGTTTAAGTCCCCTACCTTGGTGACTCCCTCTGGTACGGGGTTAAACACTCGGCGCTGGTCTTCTCGGGGAATCTGGGAGTGGAGGGGGAGAACACGGTATGCTGAGCTTCCTGGGAACACAAGGCAAGAAAGTGTTAAGAAGTTCCAACCAACAGGTCACCCAATTCAAGTCCATTTTGTTTACTGGACAAACAGGTAATGAGAAGTATAAACAGGTTAGCATTAAACAACACTTCTGTTACTAATCCATCCATCCATCCATCCATCCATCCATCCATCCATCCATCCATCCATCCATCCATCCATCCATCCATCCATCCATCCATCCATCCATCCATCCATCCATCCATCCATCCATCCATCCATCCATCCATCCATCCATCCATCCATCCATCCATCCATCCATCCATCCATGAAGAAGTATGAAGGCTGTGCTGCCTTTGCGACTGACCAAACTCTGGGCTGGACTCCAGGTGCTTCTGTAGAGAGACGATGAGGTTCCATCCTGGCAAGAACACCAGCACAGCACCTGCCACCTTCAGTTGTTTCAGGTAGCGCAGGATGGACTCGATCAGCTCAAACGACAACTCCTTCTCATTGAGCTGCGACATGGCCACCTTGGTCTGCGGGCTGTAGTCACCTGTCAGAATCAGGTTGCAGTTCTCCTGCAGAAGTACATGAAGGGATGAGCAGGTTTTTACTTTGTGCAAAGTAGCATTGTCCAATATGCCACAATAAATTACACTGGAATATGTTTAAACCAAACGGTGGGACCGTGTAATATGGTGTGTGTGGTTCAGATGTGAGAGATGTTTGCAGAGAGCTGCAGGCATGGCTGTCATGAAGTGAACTAGTAAGACTGATGATATAAGAGCTAAATACTCTCCATTTTCTACATGTCAGGCAACACAATAATTGTGACAACCCTTGAAAGGATACATTCTTGTTTTGTGCAAATTTTAGAAGTGAACTGCTACATGGGAATATTTACAAAAAAACAGGATAAAAATGTTTGCTATTACAATTCACTCCAAATACTTGATGACAATTAAGATTGGGATTTCTATAGTGAAGCACAACTATTCTACCCTTGTGTCACAAACACTGACAGTACCAGCATGGCGATAAAATGTATGGTGAAGGGGCTCAAATTAGCATCTGTCAGGAAACCAGAAACATATTTATTTGTTGGCCTTCTGATCCATGTAGAATCTAACCTCTTGCTCGTCATCTCCAGGTAAGTCATCCCCGCCCCCTCCCTTCTTTCGCTTCCTTTCATTTGGAGGAGGGACGAAGTTGAGCATCTGGATACAGTCCTCCAGGTAGTACTCTGCAGGGAAAGGAGTGAGTGAGTGAGTTGAGTTTTACGCCACACTCGGCAATATTCCAGCTATATGGCAGCGGTCTGTAAATAATCGGATCTGAACCAGACAATCCAGGGATCAACAGCATGAACATTGATCTATGCAATTGGGATGCGATGACATGTGTCAACCCAGTCAGCGAGCCTGACCACCCGATCCCGTTAGTCGCCTCTTACGACAAGCGTGGGTTACTGAAGGTTCATTCTAACCCGGACCTTCACGGGTGCAGAGAAAAGAGTGACAAGCCATTGTACAATCAGTCATACTGTAGTGCAGATTAGAAACAAAATTAATATGCTTGGAGGTAAAGAAAGGTGTTCATGGTGACAGCAGTCTATCAATATTGGTTAGTGATAATTCAAAGTAATAGTTCAATGGTATCTGTAAAGCCTAAAACTTGCATTGTAACCTCCAAGTTCTCACTTATGTCAGCTTTCACTGTAACCATGGTGATATCAAAATCCTCAAGGGTAGAGTGAGTGAGTGAGTGAGTGAGTTTAGTTTTACGCCGCACTCAGCAATATTCCAGCTATATGGCAGCAGTCTCAAGGGTAGAAAATGAGGAAACAACCAGGTCAAGGTCAAGTTATTCCTCAGGGGTACCAAGTATTATGTAGTGTGGATCTTGCACCAAGCATGACCTAGTATTGACCTTGCACTAGGCATGATCTAGTTCTGACGTGGTGCCAAGTATGATCTAGTTCTGACCTGGTACCAAGCATCATCTAGTCCTGACTTACATCAAGTATGATCTAGTTCTGACCTCTATCTAGTCCTGACATTACATCAAGTATGATCTAGTTCTGACCTCTATCTAGTTGACATGTATGATCTAGTTCTTGTACCAAGTATGATCTAGTCCTGACTTACATCAAGTATGATCTAGTTCTGACCTTGTACCAAGCATCACATTACATCAAGTATGATCTAGTTCTGACATTAGTTCTGACCTTGTACATCATCTAGTCATGATCTAGTTCTGACCTTGTACCAAGTATGTTCTGACCTTACATACCATCTCTAGTTCTTACATCAAGTATGATCTAGTTCTGTACCAAGTATGATCTAGTTCTGTACCAAGTATGATCTAGTTCTGACCTCGTACCAAGCATGATCTAGTCCTGTACCAAGTATGATCTAGTTCTGACATTACATCAAGTATGATCTAGTTCTGACATTACATCAAGTATGATGTAGTACTGACATTACATCAAGTATGATCTAGTTCTGACATTACATCAAGTATGATCTAGTACTGACATTACATCAAGTATGATCTAGTTACATCAAGTGTGATCTAGTTCTGACATTACATCAAGTATGATCTAGTTCTGACATCTAGTATGATCTGACATTACATCAAGTATGATCTAGTTCTGACATTACATCAAGTATGATCTAGTACTGATATTACATCAAGTATGATCTAGTTCTGACATTACATCAAGTATGATCTAGTTCTGACATTACATCAAGTATGATCTAGTACTGACATTACATCAAGTATGATCTAGTTCTGTACCAAGTATGATCTAGTTCTGACCTTGTACCAAGCATGATCCAGTCCTGTACCAAATAAGATCTAGTTCTGACATTACATCAAGTATGATCTAGTACTGACATTACATCAAGTATGATCTAGTTCTGACATTACATCAAGTATGATCTAGTTCTGACATTACATCAAGTATGATCTAGTACTGACATTACACCAAGCATGATCTAGTACTGACCTTGCATCAAGTATGATCTAGTTCTGACATTACATCAAGTATGATATAGATCTGACATTACATCAAGTATGACCTAGTACTATCTTTTACTGACATTACATCAAGTATGATCTAGTACTGACATTACATCAAGTATGATCTAGTACTGACATTACATCAAGTATGATCTAGTACTGACATTACATCAAGTATGATGTAGTATTGACATTACATCAAGTATGATCTAGTACTGACCTGGCATCAAGTATGATCTAGTATTGACATTACATCAAGTACGATCTAGTATTGACATTACATCAAGTAAGATCTAGTACTGACATAACAACAAGGATGATCTAGTATTGACATTACAACAAGGATGATCTAGTATTGACATTACACCAAATATGATCTAGTTCTGTACCAAGTATGATCTAGTACTGACATTACAACAAGGTGATCTAGTACTGACCTTGCACTGGGAAGACTCGTCCGTACACTTCCACCACCTGACAATCTCCAAAGTAGTCCTGGAACAGCGATGTATCCACCGTTGCCGACATCAACACCACTCGAAGCTCGGGGTAGGTATGTACCATGTCTCGCAGCATCACAAGCAGGAAGTCAGTCTGCAAAACAGGGGACAGTGTCTCACTCCACAGTGTCGATATCTGTACCATATTACAGGTGTCTCCAAACAGTCTATCTCTCACAAACCAGTTCATGAGCAACAACTCATTCCAACAGGGTAGGGTTGTGTGAGATGGGATTCATGCACTGTATCCATGTGGAGGATTTGAAGATTTGTAAGACATCACTCGTCTACGTAATCTGAGTGAGTGAGTGAGTGAGTTTTACCCACTTTTAAGCATATTCCAGCAATATCACGGCGGGGGACACCAGAAATGGGCTTCACAAATCGTATACTCCATGTGGGGAATCAACCCTGGTCTTCGATGTCACAAGCAAAGGCTTTAACCACTGGGCTACCCCACCCCACCCTCCCTTGTTAAACCCATAAATTTCTCTACAGACATGACAGTGATCACCATTTCTATAGACAGGATGCATTCATGTTTCTTGTGTTAACATTTTGTGCATACTTTACAGCTATTGAGTGGTGACTTGTGCCTATTTGGGTTCCACAGCTGACTGTCAACTTATCAGTCAAACAAGGCATTTGTATGGAAAACATATCAGCAGTCACGCTACCAGTTTAGATAAGAAACTGAGTGTTACATGCATAAGTGTTACATACAGCAAAATAACAAGTGTTACAAGAAGCTACATACATTGATATCTCTCTCGTGGATTTCATCAACGATGACATGAGACACTCCTCTCAACCCTCCTTCCAGCCTCCTCAGCAGCGTCCCTGGACATCAACAGCAACGTCGTGAATACATCAAATAATACAGGATGACTGCTAGGGGTGACTATTGAGGGGGGAACAACTATTGTGACACTAAGTAATAGACTATTGCAACATACTATTGCGATAACAATAGTCTATTGCCACCAACTATTGCAATAATGTTGCAACAGTTTTTTTCTCCTTTAATTGTCTCATTTGAAGTCATTTCCCAAATGAATGTATAGTTTTTATGACATAGAAACAGGTTGAAGTAGTTTCAGCCTCTTTTAATAACTAACAAGAAACTTGAAACCCAAATCAAGTAAACAGTTAAAACAAACTCAATGAAGCTGCAAATCTGCACCCAAACATAATGTTTTTTGCACTGCGCATTTACCAACGGAAGTCAATTACTAAACTATCAATAGTCACACATACTATCGATGCATCGATAGTTTTTCATTTCTACCATTTTTGCAGAATTTATGTCCTAAAAATAAAAAAGTTGTCTTACAAACAATCATTAAAATATTGACACAGTTCACTATTTGTTACGAGGGAGGAGTGCAGAGAAAGGGACAGCCAGGTGTTCGAGAACAGATGGAGATGGCACAGCACAGGTTGATGAATCAATAACTTTGTCGGTACTTGTGCACGTGCTTCTCGAACACCTGGCTGTCCCTTTCTATGCACTCCTCCCTCGTAACAAATAGTGAACTGTGTCTGTTAGAGCCGAATTTTAGGCATTTGCTGTACATGCAAAATATTATATTTGTAACTTTGTTAGGGTTTGTGTGTGAGAGGCTGCATGTGCTTAGTATATAGATATTAGTCGAGACATAAGAATCTGCCAGCCCCTGCTGCCAGCAAATGTCCGAGGCTACATTCACAGGACTGGTGGCAGCTGTGATTTACCACTGCAACTAAGACTCATAGACTAATTGTCTTTGAGGGGTCCTATGGGTTCTGACCTGATCAACCACGATAAGTGGCCGACCAAGAATTTAAGTGACACATGTGGAATGAAAGAGTGTGAGAAAGGAACAGAGAGCTTTAAGATACCGAAGAAGTAAGACATGTTTTTAAGTTTCTGAGAGAGAATTGTAGGATTGTGTGTTGTGGGCTAAGAGGACATACGGTTTTTCAACCTGTCCAGCCACTGTCCAGCCACCGTGCAGCCACTGTCCATTCATTGTTTAGACATGTTTTACTTACTGTCAAAATTAATGTTTAGGTACTGTTATTCTGTCATTGTGTGGATTGTATTTAGAAGAAGTGAAATAAGAAAGCTTGGAACTTGAGATTAAAGGACGTTTTGAAATCACTGGACTGAGTTAAAACTTTTACATCCTCTACCCCCAACAGCGAGATAATTTAAGAACTCACAGTGTCAATGTTTTAATGATAGGTTGTTAAACAACTTTTTTAACTTTAGGACATCAATTCTGCAAACAAATCACAGCGTTGGTCTGATGTTTTGATTATAATCAGCGTTTCATTGAGTATTATATGTTTATTAGTTTTCGAGTTAGATTGCAATTCATTGGTCCGCTTTTGAGCCAAACGCACTATAGTATTCTGTATCACCCAGTGTATCATATCCCACTCCCTGATGCTACATACCATGGGCCCAAACACTACCTATTTGTGGCACAAGTGACAGTCTCCTTTTCTCCTGTACTAAAATTACACAAAACATGCACAATGCCCAAAACTTTTCTCAGGTATCAAAATGGCTCACTGAATTGGAGATCAGCTTCTATCTATATTCAAAACGGCGGAGTGTGTGAGTGATTATGATTCTATGCCATCTTTAGCAATATTCCAGCAATATTAAGGTAGGGGACACCAGAAATGTTTTTCACACATTGTACCCATGTGAGGTGAGGTGAGGTGAAATTGGGTTTAACGTCGTGCTTGAGAATATTTCGCTCATATGACGACGTGCATGCGTGTGTATGTGTTTGTGCTGGTTTTATAGTGCTAGTTCACTGAGATACCATGCCGCAGTGAAGCATGAATACCCCACTCAGACACAGTATACTGACTCCGAGCCGACCAGTCCTTGTTGTACCCATTAATGCTGAGCGCCAGGCAGGGACCAACAAGTACCACATTTTAACGTCTTTTGGTATGACGCGGTGGGGGATCGAACCTGCGACCTTCCGCTCTCCGGGCGGACGCTCTAACCACTACACCACGGAGGCGGTCACCCATGTGAGGAATTGAACCTGGACTTTTGCTGTGATAAGCAAGCACATTGACCACAGGGCTACTCCAGTGACCCAGGAACACCCAGCTTGTATGTATATGTGTATGTGGTGTATAATGGACACTCACCGACAGTACAGTACAGCAGAGCTCCGTACGGTCTAGGCAAGACCGACTCAAATCTGACACTGTATCCAACAGACATGCCCAGGTTTTCACATCTCTCAACAGCGACCCGCTCAGCAATAGACACAGCGCTCAGCCTCCTGGGCTGTGTGCAGATGATGCCACAATCAGCACCTCGACCCTCATTCACCATCTGGTCCAAGATGAACTGTGGCACCTGAAAAGTGACCATTATATGTTTGAGTGAGTGAGTTAAGGACCATATGATATAACTCTTTTAGAGCAAGGGTTTGCTGGAATAATTATGATATATTGTTAGACACTGGTCATATATCAGATAAAGTGAAGTTATGGTGAATGTACTTATATTCTGCCCCACACTATCATCTCTACCCAGCTGTGTCGCTTTTAAAACACGTGTAGCAGTTTACCACACCCTGTCTCCCCCAGAAGTCTACTCATCATCTCTACCCACCTGTGTAGTTTTACCACACCCCTCTCCCCAGAAGTCTACTATCATCTTTACCCACCCGTTACACTCTCCCCCAGCAGGGTATGGTAACACACTCTAATAACATAGTCAGTGAGTCTGTCCACCTTATCCTTATGGATGCCACTTACAGCTGGCACTGGCTGCTTGTGTCGTTTTACCACCCCACCCAAAACCCATCTCAATGCCCCCACCCCCACCCCAAAAGTCTACTATCATCTCTACCCACCTGTGTCGTTTTACCACACCCTGTCTCCCCACGGATGAGGGTCACAGGGCTTTGCTGTATCGTTTGAAGGATGTAGTCATGGGACTCGAACACCGGCAACTTGGACCGCTCGTTTGTCATCTACAAAACATGTCCACAAACAAGTCATCAACATCTCAGATGATCAAATTATTCAGTCAAAACTTCATATGTTAACTAAGCTATTAAGTCTGGCAGAATATAACAGGTGCCCCTTTCAGATATTACACAGCCAGGCAAAGTAGCAATAAATATGATCTTTTTATTTGATGCAGCCTTGAATCGATCACCACTCCAGGTGCTGCTTTCTTTGGTAAAAAATACTGAGTGTACGTACCCTCTGAAGTTCCTCGTCACGGTTTCGCTGGTCGTCCAAGCTGTTGAACAGATCCTGGCTCACCTGCTCCAGACTGGCCTGTTGGCAAATATACACTCAACATTTATATAGCTGGCTTTAAGACACAGTAACCTAGGCTTATAAGCAACTCAAAGGGACCGCTTTATTTAGTTTGTTATAACCATTCCTTCCCCATATTTCAACTGAAATATACAGGTGGCTGGGATTGTAGTCTGTAATAATCTAGTGACTGAAATCATGAGCATCAACTAACTAAATTTTGATAGGATGACATGCATCAACCAAGTCCAAGAGTCTGACCAAATGGACCTGTAATCTGATTAGTTTTACAAACATTCATCGCAGATGGGTACAGAGACCTCTTGACTTGCTACTTGTATTCAAGTAGAGTCTCACCATTGCCAGTGGTCCCTCGTCTATGTTGCAGTTGATCCAGGGGTTCCAGTTTGGCTGGGGCGGGGACCATGGCACAACCCCAGGGGTGTTCCTCTTGGGGGCGGGCTCGAACTCATCCAGTGACACATTAGTGAGGAGGGATGTGGGAGGTATTGAGCCATCTTCTACTGGTTGAGGGGGGCCATGAGGCTGACAAAATTAGAATCAAAACATCAGTAAATACGAAAAGTTGGACTACTAAACATCTGGCTAATAACAAAAGGAAACACTTTCAGGCAGTGACCTCTTAAAGTATGTACTGACAGTGTGTCCTGTGAACATATCAATACATACAAGGTGTATCTATCTGTATTTAGGCCAAGCCTGATTGAATCTTTTAAACAAATGAAGGAACAAAATCAATTCTATCAAACACAGCATGTTCACTTCTGATTGATGAAGCTTTCGGTAAAGCTTTAGATTCAGTAACTGAAGTGATTCATTTTGAGAAATGTGAGTATAGTTTTATGTTGCTTTTTGCAGTACTCCAGAAATATCAGTATCACAATGGAGGGCAAAGGAAATAGGCTTCACACATTGTGAGTTAGTGACTGAGTGAAGTTTAGTTTTACGCCGCTTTTAGCTATATTCTAGCAATAGCTTGGCGGGGGACACCAGAAATGGACTTGTGCCCATGTGGGTAATCGAACCTGGGTCTTCGGCGTGACGAGCAAACACTTTAACCACTAGGCTACCCCTCCATCCTTTCACACATTGTACCCATATGGGGAATCGAACCCGGGTCTTCGGTGCGATAAGTGAACGTTTTAACCACAAGGCCACCCGACTGCCCCTAATTGAATTAGAAATGACATAAGATAACCACTCTCAGCAACAAGGCTGCTCTGTTGAAGCCACACGTACCTTGGGCACGGGATCAATACCCCACTTGTCCAAAACCTGCAGGATCTGGTTCTGTAAGTCAGGGCTGACAGCAACGTCGTACGGCGCCAACTACAGCAACAAACACATTAAATGTGTATGCACTCAATAGTTACTTCCACAGTACCAAACTATACTCCGTAAATATTCTTTTAGTTTAAGGTATTCTGTTTTACATCTATACATTTGGTCAAGAGGTGTCAGTACTGTCACTGACTGGAAAGACTTCCAATACACACCTGTTCGGAATCCTTCTTCTTCTTCAAACCTGTGTAGGGCTCGATAACGTTCATGTGAAAGAGTTGTCTGACGAGGGACAGAGCACAGGACTTGGAGGCTACCTGCTTGTTGGATCCGTGTTCTTGTGCATGGATGTCTGAGAACATTGAAAGTCGTGTGAATTTAGAATGCTTGGCATTCTTAGCCATCACAGCAACATTTCCGCAACAATCAGGGTAGATGGTGCCAGAAACCAGCTTCACAATCCCATGAGGGGGTAGAGTCCAGTGAGTGTTAATTATGTTGTTTATTTAAAAAAATCAACAAGGAAATCGTTATGGTTTATCAGGGCAAGCATGTGCCACTGTTATTAGCAATATTAAAGTTAATTCCACCCCTGATGGGGACATATCTTTCCTATTAAAGAGTGAGTTGAGTTTTAACACATTGTATTCCCTATGTGGGCGGTCTGTAAATCGAACTGGACCAGACAATCCAGTGATCAACAGCATTCCGATCCTGCGCCAATTGCGGAACCGATGACATGTGTCAAACAATCAGGGTACCACCGATGGTCTACCAGAAACCAGCTTCACCTCCTGTACCCATGAGGGTCAATGAATCAAATCTTTCCTATAACATCGAACCAATACATAGAGAATACTACACGAGGTCTCATTACATACAAATTATATGAAACGAGTGTCCTTCCTATGGTATCTGACCGAGCGAAATTTTCGTATAATTGGTATGTTATGAGACCAAGTGTGGTATTTTATTTATTACCCACGTCTTACATGCATTAAATTGACTAAATAGTGTATTTTTGTTATTTTTATGGTTTCAAACCGAAACCGGTTTCATAAAGAGGTTGTGGAAGATTGTTGCTCTGTAGTGAAGTTTTTGCATGACGTCACACTGTAATGACGTCACTGCACCTTGCTCGTCTGCCCCCTTGGCAACTGACGTCAGGATGCATGTCAGTTGTCATCGCCTCGTACAGCCTCCTACATCAAACTACTCCATAGCACCCCGTTTCTTAGTTTGCAGTTACTTCACACGGCTAACCTCACTGGTGGAAACTTTGAGTTTATGTTTTTGGACGCATATAATGTCTCAGTTCGACTCACAATTAAACAGCGATACGGCAACATTTGCAATGTTTACCTTCCCACAATGCATAAGTTTTAGAATGAATGAATTCACGTGTTTGTTATGAATGAAAAAGTAGTTCCGTCACAACGTGACCTAATTGAGAGGTCATCGGTTATCCAATCAAATCGCTAGAATCTCAGGTCAAGTCGTTACGACACAGGTCAACCCGATACGACACTTGTGTGACGTACGAGATCAGTATGCAACTACCCATACATGGGTAATAAAGCAATTTAACATTCCATTATTTCCTGTTTTATATTATGGGAAAGTCCACAATTAAAGGAAAATTTCGCATTTTAACAATTTCATATTTCTTATGAGACTTCAGAATTTTCCCACCATAATTCTATAACATTTCCTGTTTAATCTGTGTACAGAAATACTTAACATCATAATATTTTATACATGAATAGGTCTCACAAATTATTGCTGTAATTGCCAGCTACTTACTTTGGTTCAATTTCTTTACATAGAAATTCATCTCGGCCATGAAGCTCCTGGAACACAAGCACACAAACAGTCAGTTTATTTCCCCTACACAAAGAAGATGGGTAACATACAGACTAGTGCATTCCCTGAATACAAAGTAGGTTCTGTACATACAGAATTGGACATACAGTTGTTACAGAAGCCATCTACTACTTTATTAACACACCAAAAGTTTCTGCACTCAGAGACATATTTGCTGGAAGAACCAACAACACAACAACAGCAACCTTGTTTCAATACATATGTTTTACATCATTAATAGCAATATCACTTTTACTGTGGTTAGAATTAAAAATAGAGACATAAATAGTCAATAGAGACATAAAAGTCTCTGATAGTGAAATATACTGCAATCTTGACAGGTCAGCAGTGGTTATCATAAATAGTCAATAGAGACATAATAGTCTCTGATAGAACACTGACTTTACGTTGTTTTGAGCAATATTCCAGCAATATCACGGCAGGGGACACTAGAAACGGGCTTCACACATTGTGGCCATGTGGGGAATCGAACCCCTGGATCTTCAGCGTGTCGAGCGAATGCTTTAACCAGTAGGCTACCCCACCACCCCTGAGAATTATGAGTGAGTGAGTGAGTGAGTATAGTTTTATGCCCCTTTTAGCAATATTCCAGCAATATCATGGCGGGGGACAACAGAAATGAGCTTCACACATTGTACCTATGTGAGCAGGGGTGGAAATAACTTTAAAATTGCTAGTGTACTCCGGTACAGTGGCACATGTAAAATCACTTGCCCTGATAACTTTTCCACTATACCGGCCGTTTTCTTGTTGATTTTTTAAATAAACAACATAATTAATATTGGAAAGTCAACTGGACACCGGTACAGTGTGATATACAAATTTGCTTGCCCAACAGAAAAAAACACTGGACTCGGGCGTTGGGCAATGGGTTATTTCCACCCCTGGTAAGGAATCGAACTTGGGTCTCCAGAGTGAGGAGCAAACGCTTTAACCACTAGACTACCCCACCATCCCTGAGAACTGCGATCAATGCCATTTTGCTACAATGATAGTATTGATACACCAGATCACCAAGTCTGACCACCCAATCTGTTTAATCGCCTCTTACAACAAGCATAAGTTACTGGGGATCTATTCTAACCTCAGAATTCAAAATCGGACAATGTCTGATTATACAAGATACTCACCTGTCACTTTCCTCCCTGACTCAAGAAGATGGTCCCAAGTGTTCCCCACCACGGGCCCCTAGATCATGGAGAAACAACCTCAAGAATGCTGAGCAGTACACCAGACAGAGAGTTCCATCCAGAGCTCGGCCAGTGACACCACTGACTGAGCTGTGTCATCACATTACACATCCTAACATTACACAACATACCCTGAATCACCTGATTATCAAAACCATAGCTTGTTCACAATTGTTTGCATCAATTGTTTGCATTAAATTTTGTATACTAATTTATCAAATTTTGTATATCATCTAATATATCAAAATCTTTAAACATCTTGAGGTAACTATTAAAATAAATGATATAAATAATTATATCTTCCTACATTGGATACCTTTCTGGAGTTTTCTCGATACTTTGAGATGTGTTTAGTAATTTGACTGGTGTACTGCTGAACATGCCCACTGCGTGGTACACAGCTGATTCTCTATCAGCAACAGTGCCACAAATGATGAAGGTTGTTTCTCCACGATCCCCACAAGTCATGTAGAACATGGCCCTCACTTGACAGTGATGAAGGTTGTTTCAACAAACCACTACGCTGCCCATTCTTGAGGATTCAGTGCATCATTTCCACATTCTAACAGTGCGGGGATTTCTACAGTCATGGAACCATTTGCTACCATAGCTTTGAGTACAGATGTGGACGTCACTTCCTCCAAACAAAAATGGTAAATGGTACAATATTAACAAACTTTAAAGGCAACAACACTTCCTATTTCCTGAGTTTCGATACAGATTCTTGGACTGTTGTCAAGCATTCTTGCAGTCCTGCTTGACAGCAGAATCTGTATCGAAACATCACATTCAGGACATAGAAGTTGTTATCCATAAAGTTTGTCAATATTGTACTTCCAAACTTTGAAATTGCCACTCCAAGAAGTTAAAGACATGGTAGCAATTGGATCCTGATTGTCATAATGGAATGGAGATATGATACACTGGATTATCAGGGATGAGTACGCCAGCAATGCTACTTTCCCATCACATGGTAACATCTTGATATTATTGCAATATGACTTGAATGAATGACTTCTATCATCAGACAGAATACCTCCAGCCAAAATGTGCATCATTTTGTATGAATCCCAAACTGTTTGCCAGTCTATCAAGCTGTTGCCATAGTGAACTGACCCATCAGCACAAAGGTTACATGACCATGATGCTGATAACAGATGTTTGTCCACAATCTGGTGCCACCAGTCTCATCTGGCACTGGATTGTGTCTTGGCAGTCTAGCAAACTGTGTTTAACACTCACTGCTGGCTTAGGACTTATAGTCCTAATGCATATCTTGTCTTTAATATTGTGACTCTTTTATTGTGTGTGACCCTTGGTCATTCACGGGTTGTGGCCTGTGTACTGATAGTGTGTGTGTATCTTGTGTGTACTTACAGTCTGTGTGTATCTTGTGTGTACTTGTACTGTGTGTATCTTGTATGTACTTGTACTGTGTGTATCTTGTATGTAGTATGTACTTGTACTGTGTGTACTTGTACTGTAAGTACTGTGAGGTGAAGTGAAATTGGTGTTTAATGTAGTCGTACTGTGTGTTCTTGAGAATATTTGTGTATCTCATATGATTGTATCGTGCATGTTACTTGTACTGTGTGATGTACGTGCGGCTGCTTGTACTAGCCCAGACTTAAGCTGGTTTTATAGTGCTAGATCACTGAGATACCATGCGCGCAGTGAAGCATGAATACCCCACTCAAAACACATTATACACCCATTAATGCCGAGCACCAGGCAGGGACCAACAAGTACCATATTTAACATCTTTTGGTATGAGGGGTCAGGGATCGAACCCGCCGACCTTCCGCTATCTCTGGGACTCTACCACTAAGCCATCTATTTGTACTGTGTGCATCTGTGTGTACTTGTATGTATTATTGTGTGTATGTGTGTACTGTGTGTGTTCTTAGTTGTGTTGTGTAGTCTGTGTGTATTGTGTGTTGTAATTGTAGTATTGTGTGTATTGTAGTGTGTGTATTTGTTGTGTCCCTGTGTGTGTGTATTTGTGTGTGTATCTTGTAGTGTACTGTATATGTGTGTACTTGTAATCCTCGTGTGTGTATTGTGTGTGTGTGTACTGTAGTGTGTGTGTATCGTGTGTGTACTTGTAGTCCGAGGCTGTACTATCTTGTGTGTACTTGTACTGTAGTTGTGTATCGTGTACTTGTAGTGTGTATCTTGTGTGTAGTGTGTGTGTGTATTACATTGTAGTGTGTGTATCGTTGTGTGTACTGTAGTGTGTCTTGTGTGTACTTGTAGTGTGTGTGTGTATTACTGTGTACTTGTAGTGTGTGTGTGTGTGTCCATGTACTTGTAGTGTGTGTATCGTGTGTACTTGTAGTGTGTGTATCTTGTGTACATGTAGTTGTAGTGTGTATGTGTGTACTTGTAGTCCGTGTATCGTGTGTGTACTTGTAGTGTGTGTATCGTCGTGTGTGCACTTGTAGTGTGTGTATCTTGTGTGTACTTGTAGTGTGTGTATCGTGTGTACTTGTATCTGTACTTGTAGTGTATTGTGTATCGTGTGTACTTGTAGTCCGTGTGTATATACTTGTAGTGTAGTATGGATGTTATGTGTACTTGTAGTGTGTATCGTGTGTATTGTAGTTGTGCATTCGTGTACTTGTATCGTCTGTGTGTATGTGTACTTGTAGTGTGTGTATCGTGTGTACTTGTAGTCTGTGTATCTTGTGTGTCGTGTGTACTTGTAGTGTGTACTGTAGTGTGTGTGTGTATCTTGTAGTGTGTGTATCGTTGTGTGTTGCTTGTAGTGTGTGTATCTGTGTGTGTACTTGTAGTCTGTGTGCATGTATTGTGTGTACTTGTAGTGTAGTGTATCATGTGTACTTGTAGTGTGTGTGTCTTGTAGTGTGTGTATCTGTACTTTTGTAGTGCACTTCGTGTGTGTACTGTATCTTGTGTGTACTTGTAGTGTGTGTATCTTGTGTGTACTTGTAGTGTGTGTATCTTGTGTGTACTTGTAGTGTGTGTATCTGTAGTGTATCTTGTGTAGTGTATATCGTTGTTGTGTATCTTGTGTGTACCTGCAGTGTAGTGTATCTTGTGTGTATGTAGTCTGTGTGTATCTTGTGTGTACTTGTAGTCTGTGTGTGTATCTTGTGTATGTGTACTTGTAGTCTGTGTGTATCTTTGTGTGTACTTGTAGTCTGTGTGTATCTTGTGTGTACTTGTATGTGTGTGTATAGTTTAGTCTGTGTGTACTTGTAGTCTGTGTGTATCTTGTGTGTACCTTACTGTGTGTATCTTGTGTACTTGTAGTCTGTGTCTGTGTGTAGTTTGTGTGTACTTTTAGTCTGTCTGTATCGTGTCTGTACTTGTAGTCTGTGTGTATCTTACTCTTACCGGTTGTGGTCAGGTCCCATCATGGAATACTTGTAATCTGTATGTATTTTATGTTGCTGCAGAAACTGGTGAAGTCGACTCTTGGCATTCTCCAGCGTCCAGTTGCCATGGATATCAGCATTCAAGTCTACATCCTCGGACTGAAAGTCAAAAAAGATTTCTATTTACCAAGCACAAAGCAGATGTGAGTCATGTCCTGACTTTTGAACCCAGACAGAAAAAGTTCCTTTGATTGTGATGTTAAATAGGAAAATCCAACTGTGGTGTGGAATCCATCACTGACTGTTTAAAATTTAAGTTACTGTTGAAGGTGGAAGTAAACTGTACCTCTTCCATAACTCTCTTGTCAGCAGCCAGCCTGTCGAGATAAGCCTGTGGTGGTCCTCTCTGGTACATGGGAAACTCGCGGGGTGCACCCATTGGTTTGCTGTCAGCGCCACCTGCAAGGGGAGGTAAGCGTGAATGAAGGAGCTTCACATAGATAAGGTAGATAGTTTGTTTATTGGTTGCTTTATGTCACACGCAGCAATATTCCACCCGTATTACAGCAGTCTCAACCAGACAATCCAGTGATGCTATAAGAACAATGATCCATGTCATCAGCGTATGACAGTGTTCACGAATGGTGTTTCAAAGTCACAGGACATTGGGTCCTGTAAGTTTCAGATGTCTGTCTGACCCATTGAAAATGCACAGGACCCATGGAATAAAATTAAACACACATTTCAGATTTAATATTTCTTATAATTGACATTGAAATTATTAACAAACATAAGATTTGTAAACAGCAAACAAGTGTCACATGTCCCATAAAACAACTTCAGTCAAAGTCATTGTGAAATACACAGTCAGACACTGGGGCCGGCGGGTTGTAGACTTCTTTCTGACCGTTGGCGAATCTGCCGGATTTGTCAGAGGGTCAGACGCTATTAGTGAACACTGGTATGAGAACTTGCAATCAACGCAGTCCTTGAGTCGGCCCACACAATCTGTTTGGTGGCGTGCATCCTTGTTGTTAGAGAACAATTCCAATGCGGAATCCCAATGGGGGAATGAGGCCTTAAAGTATGATGACACAAGAGCATGGTGTTCTTGGCTTCTATTTTCCTCCTTCATTTGTGGCTGACATCAAATTAATAATTTGACTGAACACTAACTAACATTCATTAGAGGACTTCATGTGAAATTAACATACATTTTGTTCAACTAAGGAAGAGACTTTTTATGGATGTCAACTTCTTTATTAAGAGGAACACAATGTTTCTGGGTATATCCTTACTCCTTCATCAGGTGAATGAGTTTGAATTTTGTTCAACTGTTCCACAGAATGAGGTAGGACCAGGACTGTTCTGTGCCCACAACTTTAGCATAATTAAAGAATTGAGCAAAACAATTAAAAATTCAAGGAGTTGTTTAAATAATTGAACATGAATATGTTCATTACCCCGATTACCCAAAAGTGATTTCAACAGATGTGGATAGAACACATTTCAATACAATGGCAATGATACAGACAGTGTGAAGAGACTCTCAGTAATTCAATAATTGAAGAAATAGTATACCAAGGGTCTGGTGAGGCGGGAGACGTCCTCCAGGTAATCCAGCCCCTTCTCTAAAGGTATCTGCCCCTGGCTGTGGTGGCGCGCTGTAGTCAGCTCCAGCTGTGAGAAACAGTGAGTTTACTCTCTTGCACCATTAAACATTGTAACACCTTTGCAAAATGTGTTGAAAACAGTTTACAGGCTTTTTATCTCAGTTGTATTTTACTTCAGGCTTATTACTTATCTGATTTGTAACTATTCTGTATGAGTGAGTGACTTTACTTTTACGCCACACTCAGCAATATTCCAGCTATATTGGCGGTCTGTAAATAATCGAGTCTGTACCAGACAATCCAGTGATCAACAGCATGAGCATTGATCTGCGCAATTCGGATACGATGACATGTGCCAACCAAGTCAGCGAGCCTGACCAACCAATCCTGTTAGTCACCTCTTACGACAAGCATGGGTTACTGAAGATCAATTCTAACCCGGATCTTCACGGGTTTATTCTGTATGAATCCTACTAAACTATCACATCATATCAGATCAGTAGTTTTTTTATTACTCTTGAAATTCGTGAAATACGGCAAAGACTGCAAAAGCAGACTACAAAAAATCTGACAACTGTTGTCTAGTTGATCACCTTGTTGATATATACAAATCAGTAGAGCCCTTGTGGATCAGTAGAGCACTTCCAGATTGTCTGAATGTCATCAAATGATGCCAGATATTTTATGACTCACCCCAGGTATTTCGCTGGCAAGCATTTCTGATTTGCGGACAAGATACTGACAAAAGTCCCTGGCAGCGTTGGCCTGTGCATCCTTCTTGCTGGTGGAGTTGCCAACACCAACGTAGTCGTAGCCATCAACACGAACCTAGTGAACAATAAAGAATTTAGGCTTTTTTTGGGTGCCAAATTCCTTCTGAAAGGTAGGTGTGTAATTGAGGTGAAATTTTTTGTATTGATATATTGTCTTAAAAGTATCAGGATATATACCGAGTCGTAATATCATTAGCTATACCTCCTGATGCTATACCTGTAGACCTGCAACTGTCAACACTAAAATGAACTAGGAGGATCCATTATATGATTAAAAATAAATTGTGTGCTTGACTTTTCATTGTGTGTCTTAACAATGATAATCTTAATATTTGTATACCTTCTGTGGCAGTGAATTATCAAGTTTTCATATTCATAGATATGTATTGATCATGCTGATACAGTATCGATAAAAACAAAACCCTCTACTTCGTGAGACATGATGACATCAGTACCGGTAATATCCTGCTATAGAGTTACAGTATGAATTTGTAAATTCTAGCAAAACTGAAGCACTGAGAACAGGTTAGGACTTATAGCTCTCAGCTTCTCTATAATCACTACCATCATTGGATGTTTACTTGTTCACACAAGTAAGTAGTTTTGAACTAGCTGACTAAAATGATGTTCGAAGGTGATAGTGCTTGCAGATATTACCAGGATCTATATAAACTGCTGTTGTTTGTGGAACATACCTCACACTTGAACCTCATACGATGTTTTGGTCCCCCTGTATTGAAGTCATAATCTGGGGTGACCTTCTTCTTCCCCAGCCATGCATAAAGAAACTGCTTGATGTCACCCATGCTGTCTCATTCACTCCTGAAACCATGGAACTAGAACTGATATATACCAAAAGCATAAATCAGGATATAAGTACCACATTATTTTTATTAATTAATAGCACCAGTTACTCTAATTGTGTCATAATAACATTTGCCAATGAGGATGGAATTGATCTATTTAGTAGTTGTCGAAATGTCCTTGTTTGATCCATTATAAGTTTAAAAGTGATTTTTCTCCAATCTCAATACGAATCTGTGTTACAAACTGTACTAACTTTGGTCAAATGGCTGATATGATAGGGAAAGCATCCACCCTAAAACATTTACGATTACTTGATGTCTCTCCCAATGTGGGGTGTAACTTGGGTATTCACAAGCATAGTTGTAAAAAGTACCAAGATAACAACCAGGTTGGGTGTAACTGCATACTGAGGTATATACCAAACTGAATGTAATCTGTCAATTCCCCAATCAGACTTTCCATGTAATAAATACATCATAAGGTGTTGGCATTTCAATGCACTTTTTTACTGTGTAAATTCTGAGAGGTGATATTTCAAATCACCTAACGTACAGGGGCTTGTAATGCAAAAAAAACTGGCATGAAGGCACCCATGACCCCGTCAGTGATGCTGAAGGGGTCATTGTCAGCACAGGTACTAAAGATGTGTAAACAAAATAAAAATACAGTAAACATTCCCGGCACCCTAAACGGCGGACGAGTCCATATTCCGCAACCCAAAACTGTATGTAGTTATTCCTGTTCAACTGATTTTGAGTGGTATTGTGCATTGCGAAATATGTGATACTGTGTATGGTCGTTTCTTATATAAGGTAATCAAATGTATTACAACAGTATGACAGTTCCGATGAAGAAAACAGCACAATGCAGAATGCATCCTACGTTTCTGTATTCAGATTTTGGCTAGGGTAGTAACCTGTATACAGAAATGTAACTTGGGTACATAACTGGGCTAGAATGCACTTTACCGGGTGCAGCCTTCGCTGCACCCTTTACGATCTTTAGGGTTAGGGAATCTCAGCAGTGCTAATTAATCTGAAAAAGTGCGCCCGGTAAAGTGTAGTACTCCCCATAACTGTAGTACCCTTGCCGACTAAATCCCCTTCAGCGTCAGAATGGTCAGTGATAACGCACCTCGTTCACTGTCTCACTGTGAATTAACGGTTCTGCTTTCAGTGCGTTTCTTCTTACGTTCAGTTTGTTCCGTTTGTAAACACAAATACCAACATTGAACCGGACTGCTCGTTCATGTTAGACTGGCGTTGCTGTAAATTAACCACACTGACTGTAAGCAATGCCAAATTAGAACAAAAGATTACTGATCGAAAACCGGACACATCATGACTTAAACAAATGGAAAGGAGTTTATGTAATGTTCTACTTTTGTCTACACGTATAAAGTCTAGTTTTGATATGAAAAAGACTTCCTTGAACTTCACATCACCAATAATGCACATAAAATGAAAAACATGTCAAGCGCATTCGTAGAAAACACGAAAGTCTACCTCAGTGGCTCAACAACAGCTCAAAAAAGCCAGAGACGCTAAAGGGAGATAATTTCCGGAAACGACTTTGTCTGGGACCACGCCATTCGTCACCACTCGCCCCTTTCCGTAACCTCGTTCTTCGGCATGTCCCGGAATAACACGAGTTGGTCACGAATGTGCAGACGGCATATGTAGACGGGTTGAATTTTATAACGGTTCGCATCAACTGCAAAATGAAAAAAAATAGTATTCAACAACAATTTGATATAAGTAAAGCGATAGCCTTTTCATGTAGCACCATCACACATACATATGGATGTCCTCAAATGGGATGCTATTATTTTAAGTGAGTTTATAGTGAGTGAGTTAACATTTTACGTCAATATTCAGCCATATCGTGAAGACAAAGAGCCGTATACTGAAAATATAGATATGTGTATTTATATTTTTTAAAAATGCTATTAGCGAAGAACAGCAAAACAACTAAATTATCACAGATTAATTAAAACTAGTTTAAGATCAGTTTAAAATGCTAAATCATTTGTCAACAGCGCAATATAAAATCTGGCTATGTCATTATTTCAAAATGCAAACCTTTATTGGTATTTGTTCCCAAGAGGCACAGTGACAATTTTAGAAAACAGTATGTAGCTCTACAGGCCGTCTGTTAAGATGAGTTACACGCAATTATACCCAGTTGTCATAAATCTCTAGACAGCTTGTCTTTTAAGAATGAATCTAGCGAATTGTAAGTTGTGTTTTTAAAGGTGTGCAAATGTCTGTTGGTTTAGCATATTGTTACAGAATTAGTTACATGTTTCTTTCTTTCTTGCATACAAAGAGTATTCAGATAAAATATGAAATTACTCTTCACCAGTGAGGTCACACAGAACTACAGTCACCAATATATCGATAACCTTTGTCTTTATCACAGGGAAAGCGACGGCCGGCGTTGTCTAAAAGGTGTAGTTTGGTTAAACGTGAAATGCGATATAACAACTTAAATCTATGTGCGGTATATGGTCTCTGGCGAAACATATGAACAATATTTTTAAAAACGCTCTGATCGAATTTCACAATAGTTATAAACATTTTGCTGCAAAGTGAGAAGGAGAAAGGTTTTCCTTCCTGGCTATTTTCTACGTAGATCTACCTTGCTCATCATTCGTATGCCAGTGTGCCTAGACCGATGCTCATACTGTTGATCACTGGATTGTCTGGTCCAGACCCGAGTATTTAATCGCAACCATAGAGCTGGGATATTGCTGAGTGCGGCGTTAAATAATAAACAATCAAATATTATTAGGAATTCTAAACGCCACTAAGAGAAGATGTTTTACGTACGCTTCAGTGATTATTTGCGAGTGCGTGAGTTGAGTGAGTTATTTATATCCTAAAAAATAAAAAAAATTGTTTAACAAACTATCATTAAAATTTGGACACAGTTTACTATTTGTTACGAGGGAGGAGTGCAGAGAAAGGGACAGCCAGGTGTGCGAGAAAGGATGGAGACGGCACAGCACAGGTTAATGAATCAATAACTTGGTGGGCACTGGTGCACGTGCTTCTCTAACACCTGCCTGTCCCTTTCTCTGCACTCCTCCCCTCGTAAGAAATAGTGAACTTTGTCAATATTTTAATGATAGTTTGTTAAACAACTTTTTAATTTTAGGACATAAATTCTGCAAAAACCTCACAGAGTTGGTCTGATGTTTTGATTATGATCAGCTTTTCATTGAGTATTATATGTTTATTAGTTTTCGAGTTACATTGCAATTCATCGGTCCGCTTTTGAGCCAAACGGACTATAGTATGGTTTTACGCTGGTTTTAGCAATATTCCAGCAGTGTCACACATTGTACCCATGTGGGGAATCGAACCCAGGTCTCCGGCGTGACGAGCGGACGCTTTAGCCACAAGGCTACCTCACCGCCCACATCTAATCTTGACTTGAATTAGACCGCAGGATTATAAATGCCCTGCAACCTGCTTTAACCATTAGGCTACCCCACCGACCTTATTTGCGAGTGAGTGAGTGAGTGAGTGAGGCTTTACGACGCCTATACCCACAGACAGCGTACTATTAACCACTGACGTGTCCATAAATCCACCAATAAGGACCGTTCTTGTGTTGTGTTGTGCCATCGGTACTGGCGTTTATTCGAGGCAGGCGTCTTATATTAAGATTTCTTTTTTTAATAAGGTTTTCAATTTCTCTCTCGATGTAACTTAGTTGCGTCGGTTGAACTAGCTTTTGCCACCGCAAAAGTAGTTCCCTCCATCACTTGAAACAGTGTATAACCGTGAAGTGCTGAAAATGACCTCTGATAAACAGGAGTTTGAGAATGAAGGATGGATTAATTTCCGGAGAAATTTAAGTAAATATTTGTTATTAAACTTTGCATACTTTTTAAGTCTTTCTCGCTATATATGCTTTTATTTTTGCGTTTCCAAGGCAGCAGATCGGAGTTTATGTTTGTTAAAATGCGTGTAGGGCTCATTCTCCGATCTTTATGAGCTGTTGTAGGTTATTGTGAAACTTCGCATAAATTATAAGTACGACAAGTGACTTTGTTATTGGCTATATTTCTGATTTGGAGATGTTCCAGCAGAGCAGTCGGGAAGTGATTCAAGTGACCCGTGAAGATCCGGGGTAGAATAGGTCTTCAGCAACCCATTCTTGTCATAAAAGGCAACTATGCTTGTCGTAAAAGGCGACTAACGGGATCGGGTGGTCAGGCTCGCTGACTTGGTTGACACATGTCATCGGTTCCCAATTGCGCAGATCGATGCTCATGCTGTTGATCACTGGATTGTCTGGTCCAGACTCGATTATTTACAAACCGCCGCCATATAGCTGGAATATTGCTGAGTGCGGCGTAAAACTAAACTCACTCACTCACTTGATTCAAGTATATCAAGGGCGCTGCTAAAATGGCGCGTTTTTTATACTTTGGCTGGACACAAAAACGATGGTTGCCTTTGATTGGTCTCTTTTACAGTTTTTACAATTAAAAATATAATTTATGTAATTTTCTTTGTACGTCAGCTTACGACGACTGAGTGTTGCTTACCATCAACAGAAATTAGTCTTGTATAAACATGAAGGGACGTTTCCACACCTTTCCTTTTTCCAGACATCATTATAATGATGCTTACTTGTGTTAGATTCTGATGCTTTTCAAGATCATTTACTTGTTGAAATATTAGTGGTGACCTGGAGTAATAAGTATTGTGTCAAAGCTGCGCCCTGAACTAAGACAAGATAGGATCTTGTGTCCTGTGTTATAATCTCAGACCTGGTAACCGAATTATGATGTGTTATGTATGAAAGCTTATTTGGATCAAAATCACAAGCAGAGATATTCGGATGTTGGCTTTGATTTATGGAATCCTAGAAGGGAAATGTCGCGATGTCACCCTCTCAAAAACAAGCAAAAAGAGGCAAAATTAACCAAAACAATTTAGCCATTTGTGCATTTAGTTGACTTTCTACACATGCGCACCGGTAATCGAAAAAGGCGACAACGCGACAATGCGACATATTCATTATGTCGCGTTGTTGCGTTGTCGCTCATTTTTTTGCTTTTTTTTAATACATCTTAGTTGGGACGACAGTGCGACAACGCAACATATTTAGACTTTGAAAATTGTCGTTATGTCGCCCTTTGCATGAATAGAGAAATATCATTCAAAACGCGACAAAATGGCCGTTTTGCATAGTAGCGCTTTGGTTCATTTTGCCTCTTTGGCTTGTTTTTGAAAAGGCGACAACGCGACAACGCGAGAATGTCCCTTCTAGGATTCCATACTAATTTGAGATATTGACCATCCATCCACTTCTGACAGATACCTGAGCCTCAATAGTTTGAAATGCGTCACGTGTATGCTCTGGAATGTTTGGAGGCATTCGGAATGAACAATAAGTGAGTGTGTTTGGCAATTCTCCAGCAATGTCACGGCGGGGGGACACCAGAAAATTGCTTCACATATTGTACACATGTGGGGAATCGAAACCGGGTCTTCGGCGTGACGAGTGAGACGCTTTAACCACTGGGCTACCTCATCGCCCCTTGAGAGGCTTGTGTAAACGAGGACAATTGTATTTAATTAGTAATGTCTTATTAGTATGATGTATAACCACCTAATTTGGAAACATCTAATAATGTCGCAAGATTATTGACGTCATTAAAGGTGAAGGCCACTCACTGTGAGATTAGCGCCATAAATGCTTGTTTATAAGATAACTCGACTATCTATTACTAGAACGATAAGAAACAGCTACCAGACGACACAGATTATAACGTGGTTCAATATTCATCATTGTTTCATAAAAAAGCAATGCATTAAGACAAATCAAATCTAACATGCATCACGATTGTGTCAAATGTCAAGGTCGACTTGAAAGTCATTGGTTCATAAATTACCTCTCACAAACAGTTGCATTCAGGTTTGTTAGATGTTTGAAGACGCACATGACAATATTCTGGCAAGATGAGTGAGTGACGTTTTTGCGGGCCGCTTTTAGCAATATTCAAACATTATCACTGCAGAGGACACCAGAAATGGGCTTCACACCTTGTATCCACGTGGGGACTTGAACCCGGGTCGTCGGCCTGACGAGCGAAGACTTTTATAACCAATACAGGCTACACCACCGCCCCAATCGCTGGACGAGAGCGGTGCACAAACAAAAGAGACGTAATAATACTGTAAATATTGTGAGCCGTCAATGTACACTGATTCGCAGTCAAACAAAGTGCCTGAACACCCGATTTATTTGGTCGCTTCAGACCAGTGTCGGCTGCCCTGTGCCGATTCTAACCCGGAATCGCAAAGCTGGTTCCTTTTGTTTGAGAGTGTGGATACTCTAAATTTGTACCGGGTAACACCACATGCACGTGTTTTCTGCCGGTTACAAGTTCACAAAATGCCCAAACGTCTCAGCTAAAATAGATATGGGATCTTTATCATTATTCATTTTTTCAAGAATCGTATTGGCCCGCCAGCTGTAGAAGGTCATCTATATAAAAGGTCACCTACTTTGGGGATTGATAGACAAGAAATAAAAAAACCCCGTGTGAGTCGAAACCTGGCTTCCCGATCAATACATTCAGGCCATACATCTACTGTGTTTTACACTTACGCCGTACATTTACTGTGTTTTACACTTTGGTCACAATCTACTGTGTTTTACACTTTGGTCACAATGTACTGTGTTTTACACTTTGGTCACAATGTACTGTGTTTTACACTTTGGTCACAATGTACTGTGTTTTACACTTTGGTCACAATGTACTGTGTTTTACACTTTGGTCACAATCTACTGTTGGTCACAATCTACTGTGTTTTACACTTTGGTCACAATCTACTGTGTTTTACACTTTGGTTTTACACTTTGGTCACAATCTACTGTGTTTTACACTTTGGTCACAATGTACTGTGTTTTACACTTTGGTCACAATGTACTGTGTTTTTTACACTTTGGTCACAATCTACTGTGTTTTACACTTTGGTCACAATCTACTGTGTTTTACACTTTGGTCACAATCTACTGTGTTTTACACTTTGGTCACAATCTACTGTGTTTTACACTTTGGTCACAATGTACTGTGTTTTGTGTTTTACACTTTGGTCACAATCTACTGTGTTTTACACTTTGGTCAAAATGTACTGTGTTTTACACTTTGGTCACAATCTACTGTGTTTTACACTTTGGTCACAATGTACTGTGTTTTACACTTTGGTCACAATCTACTGTGTTTTACACTTTGGTCACAATCTACTGTGTTTTACACTTTGGTCACAATCTACTGTGTTTTACACTTTGGTCACAATCTACTGTGTTTTACACTTTGGTCACAATGTACTGTGTTTTACACTTTGGTCACAATCTACTGTGTTTTACACTTTGGTCACAATGTACTGTGTTTTACACTTTGGTCACAATCTACTGTGTTTTACACTTTGGTCACAATGTACTGTGTTTTACACTTTGGTCACAATCTACTGTGTTTTACACTTTGGTCACAATGTACTGTGTTTTACACTTTGGTCACAATCTACTGTGTTTTACACTTTGGTCACAATGTACTGTGTTTTACACTTTGGTCACAATCTACTGTGTTTTTACACTTTGGTCACAATTGTGTTTTACAATGGTCAACACTGTGTGTTTTACACTTTGGTCACAATCTACTGTGTTTTACACTTTGGTCACAATCTACTGTGTTTTACATTTTGGTCACAATCTACTGTGTTTTACACTTTGGTACTCTACTGTGTTTTACACTTTGTGTTTTTACACTTCGTCACAATCTACTGTGTTTTTACACAATCTACTGTGTTTTACACTTTGGTTACAATGTACTGTGTTTTACACTTTGGTCACAATCTACTGTGTTTTACACTTTGGTCACAATGTACTGTGTTTTACACTTTGGTCACAATCTACTGTGTTTTACACTTTGGTCACAATCTACTGTGTTTTACACTTTGGTCACAATCTACTGTGTTTTACACTTTGGTCACAATCTACTGTGTTTTACACTTTGGTCACAATCTACTGTGTTTTACACTTTGGTACCAATCTACTGTGTTTTACACTTTGGTACCAATCTACTGTGTTTTACACTTTGGTACCAATCTACTGTGTTTTATACTTTGGTCACAATTTCCTGTGTTTTACACTTACGCCAAACCTCTACTGTGTTTTTCTTTCAGGCCATACATATACTGTGTTTGTCAATTAGTTCATACATCTACTGTCTTTTCCACTGAGGCCAAATGTGTTTGCGTGACACACCTGTTTCTAAATTGAATGTAAATAAATCTGTGACGCATCCGTTGTGTTTTCAATGTAGGTGACACTTATGCTGTATTATTTAATCTAGGCGAAAGTATATTTTCCTCCACCACCCGTGAATCCTTTCGGCTGCTGATGTAGTTTTACGTCGCGTCAGAAAATGCGCGCCCAGCGTGATAGCCCAGTAGTTAAAGCGTTCGCTTGCAACGTCGATGATCCTGGTTGGATTTTCAGAGGTTCCAGCCCCAAAAAGTAAACATCTTGAGATGCCGTGGTCCAAGGGCCACGTCTGAAGCCAACGCAACACTGCAAATTCCCTCCTTCAGTGTGTTTACAGCATCAGCTTACAACTGGGGCGGAGTAGACGTGGATTGGGTACAGCAAGTACGTGAGTGTACTTTGGTTGATTTTAGAAACAGTCCACACAGCATGCACACTCCGGCGCAGTGATGACTTAGCATAACATCACACCCACAAGCTAATTTGCATATCACGTGACCGGACTTTTCTCTTGTTTGTAAACAAACGCGCATATTCACAATAAGAAGAGACTGGCCTTACGCAAGCTTTTCGGCGCGCTCTTCACAATATTTTACATTGTACCATATATATTCTTCCACAACTGCGACAGTAACATTTATGACAGTACATATTTAGATATCAAACTGGTTGCATCGTTTGCTCTCCGTCGGCTTCGATGACAGTACGCGGAGCCGTACAAAGTATGTAAACAAAGGATCGCTACGCAAATCGAAATAGTGTTACAAGTTTTAGGATATTTTCTCGGTGAAACTAAACCATTCTAGCAGAGATGTTTAATTAGATGTGTAGACTCGTCAAAAATAAAAGAGTTCAGAAATATGTAGATTATATTGAATGTACGGTGCAAGATGTGACGAAACGTCTTTCTGGCCTGTGGCAGAGGTACTATGCTGGCTGGCCGCATGGAACTCTGGGTAGGAGAGTGCACAGCATGCCGGGAAGTACGCAGTATGTTATTCACAGTTCTACAATGCGTTATCGTGGCGCACTGATAGCGAAACTTGCCTATTCAAGTTTCAGCTGTATCAGCAAATTCCAAACCACAATCTTCAGAGAGCACAGAGGATAAGACAAAACACTTCAATGTCGTATCAATGGATTTTATTCACATCGTCATTTTTATCATGCTTTGATGTATTCCCTGTTCTCTCGTTGAAAACCCGCCACATTTTATAATGTTACAAGTTGACGATCGAGATGGGGTATATACTAGTGTGGTGCTAAGTGATCAAGAAACATTATAAGGCGAATATTGGATTCAAACGCGCGGGATATAGATTAAGTGTTTTTACAGTGGATTAGGTTTTCAGGGTTTCAACTGGAGATGCCAGTTGACTATACAATAGGGTAAGATTGTAAGAGTTGAACCTTAAAAATGAAATAAAATTGAGTGGCACATCTTAAACATGAATGGTACGCCAGTGCACTTTTTGAATTTTTGTCTATTGTATTAAGGAAGTTGTTTGTCCATATATATTATCTTTCTGTAGAACCTATTCTGTTATGTTTGGTCGTGATAAAAGTTGAGTGGGTAAATGTGACAAAGAGTGAAATTGCGACACATGCGATTTATCAAGGACTTTTCTGGATAAATGAATTTTCAAATATGTTAAGTACATGTAATCTGTCATTTTGAATAACTATGTGGAGTGACCAATGTGAGCTCCCAAACCAAACTTAAATATAACAAGAAGCAGCACTTAAATAGTCAAGCAACAAGAACATACACATATTGTAACAAAAGTCCATAGTAAATGTAACATGTAACATCATTAAGCATAACTGGGCCTCGTTGGTGTATCTGTGAGCGTGGACTGCCACGCCTCGATGTGACGATGTTGTACTGTATGGGTGATGTTGTCGTAGTTGACGAACAGCGTCCTCTCTACAGTGAACCTGTCTGAGGCGAGTCCCTGGGGTAGCACTCCACGATGTATCCTTATAGACGTATAGTAGGCAGGAGATATATCCCTGGAAAACATGAGACAAGTCAATATGTATTCGTACACTGCTCAAGCACAAGCGGATGCGTGGTTTGGTTCAGGGGATATGCACAAGACTAGTGCGCGCAGGGAACATGCACGGGTGGGTGTTTGGATGATTGCTAAGGGAATGGTAGTCTCTGCATGCTACACCAGAACGACTGTATTTATAGAGACGGAACATCGCGAGGAAGTACAATTGTTAAAATTGATTTTCACTTCGAGTGTTTTTGAGTATGATTCTGCCAAATGTGAGCGCCAAACTGTAGGGACGTTGGTGCTAGATTCGTTCATTTGGATGGGTCGCAGCGAAGATGTTCGTCACACTCTTTGAGTTGTCTTTATGATGGTATACTCAAATGCAGAGATTAAGATAAATTGTCTTTATGATCAAAGGCAAAACTTCTGTATTTAATCGTTAATGGGACTTTCTCAAGAATTTCAAGGTCATTTCAAGAAATCAGTTTCGTGAAAAATAGATGAAAGACGAAAACTGTCGTTAAATTTCGCTGTCATGCGCTGTGTCTCATCCAATGGAAAAAACGCAAAATTATAATAATTAGTTAAATAATCATGAATATGAACGAGTGAGTGAGTGAGTGAGTGAGTGAGTGAGTTAGTGAGTTTAGTTTAGTTTTAGCAATATTCCAGCAATATCATGGCGGGGAACACCAGAAAGGGGCTTCACACATTGTACCCATGTGGGGAATCGAACCCGGGTCTTCGGCGTGTGGATATGAACGAAATGTTTTCTTCATCTATAAGAAGACTTAGTGGCTCCCCAATTACTTAATGACACTTCTTCCATCAAATCTCGTGTATAATTCCGATACACGGTGATTGAAGAAAGAGTCTTTTGCGTTTCTCAGCAATAGTCTTCCCTGACAGGGGGCCACTTCGGCTAAACAAGCGACCATTGAAACAAGACATAACATAGTGTATTCTCTTTAAGATACTGTCTGAAACAAACAGATGACATTAGATAGATAAGACACTGCGGTCCACCCTGAAAGCATTCCATAGATTAAGACGGAACTGTGTCACTGACGAAAACAGATTCTTGTGGAAGTTTTTTCAGACCAAACTATAGTCAGGAAATGGCGTCGAGGTTTAAGATTGCATCCAGCGAGAATGTTTGCTTGTTTGTTCGGGGTTTTTTTGTAACGCTACACTCCTCAATATTCCTGTTATGTGACGGCGGTTTGCACTTAATCTGGTCTCGACAATCACGTGATTGATAGCAGGAGCATCGATCTAAGCAACTGGGGTACGATGACATGCACCATAGGCAGTGAGTCTGACCCCATGGGCTGCTGAAGATAATTTCTAACTCGGATGTTAACGGGCGACAAGCATGGTTTGTTGAAGAACAATTCTCATCTGATCTTCACAGGGGACAAGCATGGTTTGAAGACCAGTTTTAACCCGAATGTTCCATCGGTAGAAGACTGGGTTGTTGGAGACCACGTCTTACCCGGATGTTCACCGGGGATAAGCATGTTATGATGAAGACCAATTTCAACCCATCTGCTCATGGATTCCAGTTAGAATGAACCAACCTTTCATTGCTTACTAAATCTTCAGTTTTGTATCTAGGTGGGTGTTTCCCACTATTATCATACTATTAAAACCCTGGCGTATGTACATTTCGAAAACTGATCAAAATATATAATATAAATAAGGCTTGAAAAACTGCACCAGTAAAAAAAGTAGATTGGAAACCTGGTGAGTACCTTATAGCATTGTCGTGAATCTTGAGTTGACTCCATTTCTGTATGGCCCGGGGGTGCCGGAACAACACCAGGTTCCCCCAGTTACCCCCAGGACTTCTCTCTGCACTGCAGTAGGCCAAGATGTCTTCCTGACTCTTCAACTCGGCTATGAGCACTGCATCCATCTGCCAGGCCTGTTTGTCCATGCTGTCATCCACAGTGTCCAGCTTCTCGCCAATGAATCCCACAAAGTACAGAACGCTGTCCCCGGTCTTTGCCCTTTCTCTATATTCCTGCACCACACTCATCCCTTGGGGAAACACTACTCTTGCCTGATTGCCATTGTCCATGTGTTTCAAGTACTGCAGCATTGTTTTGCCTTCTTGCTTTGCCATTAGTTCAATGTCCATCTCTTTGTTGATGAAGTCAAGGCATGTTTTAAGAAACGTAAGATCGTCTTCATAACTCTCGAGGCTTTTTGCAACGTTCATGTTCTAGTTTTTCCAAGATCACCCGAACACACTAGTATGGTCATAGACACTGGAATATATATATAGCAAATTTCTTATCTTGAGTTGTGAGGGATGATCCTAACACACTTGAGCATACAGAGCAAATCTGTTATCTCGTTGTTAGCTCACCTACTGTGCTACCTTTGTAGATAATAGATAGATAATATTTCATGTGTCTAGTGAAATATGATAGATCTGTAATCACGTCACGAAGGTCAAGTAATGACGCTGCCAGTCTGTCACTCGAGGATGAACTCGATCAACGTGTACGTCAACGTCAAAACACGCCTCAGACACTTCCAAACCTGGCCATCGCATTGCAGGAAGAGTGTGGAATAATTCCGTAAGAGCGACTTCGTCGACTTATCCACTCTGTGCCGAGGCGGTGCCGAGCAGTAATTTCTACCAATGGGGGCCATACAAAGTACTGACTTTGCGCCATCTTGTAGACTCAAGTAAACAGAAACAAAACAATAAAGGTTGCTGTTGTTTTGGCGAATGTATGCATTTTCACCTCTTTACCATTGAAATAACATGACATAACTGCTCTTAAACTAGCGCAATAAATTCTTCTAAAATTGGCTTTGGCGTTTCTTTGTTTCAAAGAATGTACGTAGCACTGTGATACATAATTTAAGTACCGGGCTTACGAAAGTTATCACCGACTCCACCTGACCAAAAAGTAGAAAGAAAAACGTATGTGAGATTTATGATGATTATTTTACAAACAGGAATCATTTTCCAATAATTTGTCTGAAAATTCATTGTAATGCTGGTATTGTATTTGCCGCTGTTCATTAAGAAAGAGTCAATGAGTCAAAATTAGAAATTACACAAATCAGAGTTCATTCATAAAGTGCATAAAGAGTGACATAATAAGCAAATGGGAAAGCTGGTGAGTACCTTATAGCATGTATGTGACTCTTGAGTTTATTCCATTTCTGTATGGCCCGGGGGTGCCGAAACAACACCATGTTCCCCCAGTTACCCCCAGGACTTCTCTCTGCACTGCAGTAGGCCAAGATGTCTTCCTGACTCTTCAACTCAGCTACAAGCACAGCATCCATCTGCCAGATCTGTTGTACAACGTGCTCATCAACAGTGTCCATCTTCTCGCCAATGAATCCCACAAAATACAGAACGCTGTCCCCGGTCTTTGCCCTTTCTTTATATTCCTGCACCACACTCATCCCTTGGGGAAACACTACTCTTGCCTGATGGTCATTGTCCAGGTGTTTCAAGTACTGCAGCATTGTTTTGCCTTCTTGCTTTGCCATTAGTCCAATGTCAATCTCCGTGTTGATGAAGTCAAGGCATTTTATTAGAAATTCAAAATCGCCTTCATAACTCTCGAGGCTCTTCACATTGTTCATATTCCAGCTTTATACAGATCTACCGGTGTCGACGAGGTGATTGACACTGGAACATGTAGAGCATGTCTGTCATGTTGTTGTTTAAATACGAATCCAACACGCCGGTGTTGTAATAGATACTGGTCATGCAACTGTTTTATGTTGTTGTTTGCCAAACCTCCAGTATGGTTGCATCCGTATAATGTGCTGTTAATGAATGCCTTGGACAGCCCATGTATAGCACCATTGTAGTGTGTGGCGGCAGCTGATCGGAACCTGCTCACCCTTTTCGTGAACACCTGATGTCAGCACTGATTTAATGACCCACTCATTCAATTGTCATACATATTCATCCTTTTACCGAAATGGACCTGGCAAATAACTGAGAGTATTCTGTTTACTATTCTCAAACATAAATTGGTAGAAACTGCCTAAAGTGTGATGACTCTCAGCATTTCGCGAGTCAAGCAAGATCCAATACCATTGTGACAGAGGTAAGATTAGCTATGAGACGTCATAACTGTAAATAATTATGACGTCATACGTTCGGCATCACTGTGTACTAACATTGTAGATTTATTAAACAGTGATATCTTCAACCGGTGAGTAATAAAGATTTCTACATACCACTGGACGTCCTTTTGTTTGTTGTAATTGAGGCATTCTTGAAGATGATGAAATAATTTGTGTTGATTCTTTCAAAGAGGATGTAATTCTGAAACTGTTCAAGGAAATTATTCTTCAAGCTGTTGAGCGGGAACTGGTCTCGAAGCTGGTGAAAGGGATCTAGTTATGAAACTGTTGAAGGGGAACTTACCTTGAAGCTGTTGAAGGAAACATGCCTTGAAGCTGTTGAAGTGATACTAGCCTTGAAACCGTTGAAGGGAACTAGTCTTGAAGCAATTGAAGGGAAGTAGTCTTGAAACTGTTGAAGGGAACTAGTCTTGAAGCAATTGAAGGGAACTAGTCTTGAAGCTGTTGAAGGGAACTAGTCTTGAAGCAATTGAAGGGAACTAGTCTTGGAGCTGTTGAAGGGAACTAGTCTTGAAGCTGCTGAAAATTATTTAGTTTTAGAAGCTGTTGAAGGTAACTTGACGTTCAGCCGTTGAAGAGGAGACGTTCAGCTGTTGAAGAGGAGCCAATTTTGAAGCTGTTGAAGACAGAGGAACTAGTCTTTAGGCTGTTGTAGGGAAACTAACCTCGAAGCTGTTGAAAAGGAACTGGTCTTGAAGCTGTTGGAGGTGAAACAACCTTGAAGCTGCCGAATGGGTATTTGTCTCCGCCAGCAGTGTCTCTTAATAAGGCTGCCCTGAGGCACACAAAATAAGTCATAACGGCATCACGTCATAAGGTTTTCAACGAACTAAAATTGTATCTAAACGATATATCCGTTGCACTATTTCTGAATAATGATGAAATCACCATGGTTACATTGTCATTATGTATTCTGGACAGGTGTGTTACAACGCTGTATTTTCACAGTCATGGCAGTAGACTACAATGGCACATGACACAATGTAGCTACGATCTCGGTATGTGTGTCAAAGCACATTTGTGTATCCCGTGTCATTGATACTGTAGCTGAAGCAGGCCAGGGGATTAAAAGCAAACTTGTCAAGCAAACACTACAGGTCGTAGGAAGGTAATAATGTTCTTTTTTCCCACCCACAATGTAGTCATCAAATTCGCAGCAGTGCCTATCAGTTTCACATGACACGTAAGATGTCCTCTTTTGTTACCTGTTACAACATTCAGTAAGCTACAACTATTGTAGGAGCCCGGTAGATAACATAATATATGGACAACTAATTTAAGCGTAATAAGGTTATAACTATCTTACAAACTATATGTATATTGTTCCATGTAACATGACACAAATACACTTATCCAGACGAAGAAATAGTTAACATGATACTTACATATTTGATGTGTTACACGAGGGTCAATGTCTTCTCTACCACAGAGAAACAACTTATATAGAATAGTATCTGGTTGGTTTGATTCTTGTTTACCTCCGCACTCAGCAATATTCCAGCTATATGTCAGCGGTCTGAATAAATGAATGTGTTTATTTCTGTAAGTAGGCCATCGGTCCATGGACAATCACATGATACAAAATTTCATTGTTGACAAGGCAATATGCATGTTATACATTATTACATGTTACACATTATTACATGTTACACATTATTACATGTTATACATTATTACATGTTATACATTATTACATGTTACACATTATTACATGTTACACATTATTACATGTTATACATGATTACATGTTACACATTATTACATGTTATACATGATTACATGTTACACATTATTACATGTTATACATTATTACATGTTACACATTATTACATGTTATACATTATTACATATTACACATTATTACATGTTATACATTATTACATGTTACACATTATTACATGTTATACATTATGAAATATTATACATTATTACATGTTCCACATTATTACATGTTCCACATTATAACATGATATACATTATTACATGTTACACATTATTACATGTTACACATTATTACATGTTACACATTATTTAGTTTACGCAGAACTTCATGAACATGATGTTATATGTATATCAGAAACTTGGCTGCATGATGGTATTTCAAATTATGACACTCTAATGCCTGGGTTTCATCCGCCATTCCGTAATGATAGACAAACTAAGGGAGGTGGGGTTGCAATTTATGTGAAAGACTCTATTTACTGTAAGCATAGGCCTGACTTACAACTTCCCAGGACTAGAGGCAGTGTGGGCACAGATCACGTGTAAATAAGAGTTATGTTGTCGGTACGTTTAATAATTTTATCGTGTAAATATAAGTTCCCACTACTGGAATCTGATTGAAGAATGAATTGGCTTAGCTATAGATACTATTATTAAGACTGTAGTACTTGGGGATTTCAATGCTAATTTGTTGAATAGAGTAGATCCTAATATCGAACATATTAAGACAATTACTCAACAATCGAGGACACTTATTGACCTAATATTTGTATCTTGTCCTGATATTGTAAAATCCTCTGGTGTTACTCCCCCATTCTGCAGTGACCATTGTTCAGTAAGCGTGTGGCTGAAATCTATTAAACAGACGAAAGAAGCCTTTTCAAGATTCATTTATAATTACGATAATATTGATATAAATTCTTTTCGGCAGATTTGGCTGATGTTAATTGGGATTTTCTTACACAAAATGATGATGTTGATGCCTCTGCTTCCAAATTTGTTAATACATTAACAGATTTATGTAAATCAAATATTCCGAACAAAACTGTTGTGATTCGTCCAAATGATGCTCCATGGATGAACGGATTTATCAGAAAACTCATGTGTAAGAAAAACAGAATTCATAGAAAGGCTAAACGTAGTAACTTGCCTAATGATTGGGGAAAATTTAGAAAAAGTCGAAATAAGCTTATCTCAGAGATACGTAAAAGTAAGTCATTGTATGTTGAAAGACTTGATAATGTTGTCAATGCAGAACATGGTAGTAAATCTTGGTGGCGGATTGTTAAAAATTATCTTAAGAAAACAGACAAAGCTAAGATATTTCCACACATTGAACACAATGATGTTGTTTATGAAGATGA